GGCGATGTCTCCGCAGCCATTTCACTCAAAAAGAAATGTCGGGCCTTCCGCAGGTGGCTTGATCTTGCTCCGGGTCTTCACGAAACCTTTTTTCAATATGGATGCAGGGCTATATTTTTGGTTGGATGCTCCATTGAATGCCTTCTTTGTGCGGCAAAGTCTCAAAGCGTGTCCAGGCGCAAAAGAACCGTCAACTTGTAGGAGCTGTAGCCGACTGGTGTTGGAAAACCACAGAACCAACCTACAAGCACGCCGACTTGTGCTTGAGGCAGCATGCAAAACTTACGTCGGCCGTTCAAACGCACGATGAAACCGTGAACACCGGCGATGCACACCTCGTCTCGACACTCTCACCGGTTGTGAACCTCGGCCCCACAGCGACTTAAGCGACTTAGGCTCTAAAACCGCAAGTAGTTCCGGAACAACTGCCACTCATCTGCTGGCCTGATGAACCTCCCCTATGACAATTGTTGTCAGAGCATGTCAGAGGCAGCGGCTCGTTCGAGCCAAGCACAAAGGACACCTCACACCATCCATCATGCACACAAGGGGTCTGCCGGGTCTGGCGCGTCTACGATTTGCACGTCTTGTCCAGGGGGTCAATTAGCATGTCTGTCTTCCTTCTTATCCACCACTAGGAAAAATCCTGTCACCCAGCTGAATCTGGCCAAAAAAGCTTTCAGACGGAGCTATGAAGCACGCAGCTTGATGGACTCCAGGGCACTGCTGCTGGAGCGGAGACGCCGGCGGACGTTGCTGTAGGATGCAGCCAAGCAACCTCGAAATCGAATTTTTGCAATGATTCTCCGAATGGCTGCATTCCAGCTTGCCAAAGAATAACAAGTCTACACGCGGCGGCATTTGCCTGCAATTGAAACCTCACCAAAGGCATATTTCTTGAGACGCTGGCGGGCATCTCAAAAGCATTCACAAATGAAAGCCTTCCAATCTCGTGACTGGTGCCTGTCGAACAACATTCTTGAATTGTGAAGATGCAGTCACGTCATGGGACTTGTGCGCAACTCCAGAAATCGCTGAAACGGGCGCGCCTTCCCGATCTGCGGTGCAGACCCGGAGACCGTCCTTCCACACTGGAAAAGCACATAATCTGCCGAAGTAACTTAACATTTATATTTATATTATTAATACTATTATTGTTACTATGATTTTCTTGTTACTATTCTTATTGTAACAAACACTGCGACAAAACAGATGCGTCGCAGTGCATCTGCTCTGACACCCGGCCAGACTGACCCTGTTGACAGGCAAAGGCGGCCTGGGCCGCGTTGGACCAAAGTTGCTGTGTCCAAGCGCGGGTGGTGCAATCCTTTCGCAACTGGCAATGAGACTGGCAAAAAGAGCGATGGCTAATCTCTGTAAGGAGCCACTTACTTCTTGGATAATTTTCGCATTTCGTAACTTTAAGCTACATAATGCCCCCTGATCCCCAGAGTAACCGACATCAGCAGCAGCCCACTGGCTTTCACACGATGCTTCATGTTTGATTTCGAGAACTTGAAACCGCGCAAAGTGCCCAGGAAAAAGCTCCTCACCACAAGTTCACAGACCGTTTCCAAAGCCTTCCATTGTAATCTTCAGGATTTTCGACTCAGGTCTTCAAGGCGCTTGCAAGAAAGCTCTTGGAGACCGAGGAGCCCAAGATCCCGAGGAGACATGGAAGCTTGGAAGCTGTCCTGCCGGCCGCCAGCAACCACACATGCATCTCTGTTCACATTCTAGAGGCTTCCTACTAGTAGCCTGTGGGCTTTTTGAACTAGCAGTTGAAGTACATGCAAAACCGTGCAGGGGCGCATATAAGCAGCCTTTCTTCGTAGCCTTGCCTTCTCTGGTGCCACATGGCGGCACCATCTAAAGAAGCTCGTTAGCTCTACCGGTACTGGCCTTCATCTCTTGGGCCTTACACGCCCTTTAGGCGTGTGACCAAACTAGGGACGGTCCCCTTGGAGGACCAGCGGGCTTGGCAGCGGCTCCTTCACTCCTTTCAGAAAAAACTGCTCGCAGCAATAAGGGCCAAGCCAGGCAGCGCAGCGTATCGAAGTCTGACTGCTCAAGCTCTATTTGTAAATAGCCGGCTGGAAAGCCATTCAAGGCCTCTCTGCTTCGAAATCGTTGACTGCCATCTGGTGCCACAACTCGGAGCTTTAGCGAGCAAGTCTTGCCGTCCAGTTCGGCATGACCAATTCGAGCAAAGTCTAAGGTAGTTCCGTCAGCTAGGGATCCTGGCGAAATTACAATTTTGTCCATGAAGAACCAGATCTTCTGCAGCCTTCCACCTTGTTGGCATTGGGGCCCAGGAACAGCAAGACGCTTTGCTGTCAACTCGCAAATGCTTCTCCCAGTCTCCCCGGGCTCACTCTTGTCCGGATTCGACTTCACCTTGCTCTGGGAAATTTGCAGAATTTCTGTCTGCCTTGAATTGGCAGTGGCAGTCTGGGCAGCTTGCGCAATCTGGGCAACCTGGGCGGTGTGTGGGCGCTCTATGCGAAGAGCTCGGGCAGTGTCTCTTGTGTCGAAGGACGTCCGGAAGCCTCCCCAAGATCCCCAAGATCCCGGGGACCGGCGCAAAGCTCCTGGCAATGTCTTTGCCTGCGATGCTGGCCGAGAGTTCAATCCCGGAGCACTCGAGGAAGGCCGCAAGGCATTGTGGTGCCAAGAGCCTGAGCACATCAGTCTTCGCCACCCTCCTTCTTGGGCCAAACAGCACGAGCCACTACCTGCTCTGCGCATCCATGTGCACAAGCATAGCACGCCCGAGGGCACCCACGTAACCACCGACCCACGCGCCCACACACACATGCGACGCATGCTGCAGACCCAGCTATGTGTCCGTGAAGTTGCGCTGACAAACATGAGAGACTCATTCCCCGATGTCACCAAGTCCAACTGGAGTTCTCGGAGCCTCTAATCCTGAACTGATCCTGGCAGAGGAAATGAACCTCCAGCTAGACCCGAAGGATTGTGACCGCACACGTTGCATGCCCATGCATTCAGCCTCCAGCTATCGGCAGCCTCGTCTGCAGCACAAACCGCCTCCGGTCTCCGCACACGACTAGCACGATGAAACAATTGTCATCTACAGGACATCAGGGACGTCAACACGTTGCGAGGGGCTAGATAGCAGCTAGCACTTTGAATGCCACCAGCCCTCGTGCCTCGAATTTGCAGTTGCAAGGACCTCTTGACCTCCAGCCGCCAGACCCCTGGCAGGGAACAAGCTTCCAGCGCGGTCTGCATCCCGAAAGCCTGCCTACACTCTTGTGCTGCAACGCCCGCAAGATCCCGCAGCCTCAAGCTGAGAAGGTGATCTTCGGTGCAAGCTGCACGGCAATGCACATCGTCGCCTAACACAATCCTGGCCAGATGTCAAATGCCAATATACAGCCCTACGGAGTCCTTCGGTTTTATTCTGTTTCAATCTTGCCAGCAGTGGTTGCACCAAGCCTTGAAGCCATATCTCACTATATGTGATATTGATAGCAGGGCAGATCAGTACCGAAATAAAGGAAGAGACATCTGTATATATGTATATATAATCATGTTTATAAATGTACAGTGGCAGGAGGATAAATACGACTTATACATATGAAATTGAAAGCGCAGAAAAGAACAGACAGACAGAACATGCATATGCACATACACACACACATTCGTACATACGTATCTTTGTATGCATGTATACATGCATGCATGTGTTTGTGTGTGCGCGTGGGCATGGACGATCATGGGCGTGTGCGTCTGTGCGCCGTTGCGTTTGTGCTTCGGTGCGTCCGTGCGTCTGTGCGTCGGTACGTCTCTGCGTCGGTGCGTCTGTGTTTGAATATGAGTGCGTGTGCACATGTGCGGGGCCAGGGTGCTTGCTTCAGCTGGTTCCTGTTCCATTGCATCAAACTCGAGTCGAACGAGGTGCAGCTGCAATGTGAATTCTAACCGCTTCTAGCCGCAACCCGACTGCCCCCGGCGCTTCATCTTTTGACGTCGCTCTCTGCGCAAAAGGCATCACATCACTTGACGTCGCCGATCCACAAGCCATTTTCCTGGAGAGCTCACAATTACAAACCAGCCGTGTGAGATAGCATGCGTGGTGGATTTCTCTGCGCCAGCTGCTTGCCATTCCAAATCCCAGAAAGAAACCCGATTTTATCACAGCAGCCCGACCCGAACTGCTAATTCTTCTGACCTTCCCTTATGCCAAGAACTCCAATCCAAAGCTCCATCCATGTCAGGCTTTGCGGCACATTGATGCTGCGTGCTGCCCACCTGAGAGCACCAGAGCCCTAAACCCTAAACCCTAAACATCAGGTGGCCCCCCCGGGCTTGGCATGACTTCTGTGCATCCGGGAAGCAGCAGTTGCTCTGATGCCGGGGATGCCTTGCAGGTGAGCCAGCTCTGATCATATACAAGAAGCTGCAGAAGCGGGACTAGCACACACCAATTGAGACACAAGGGATGAATCATGACAGGGCCTTCGCTTTCAGAAGCTGAACTTTGAGTCTTGGGGCACAAGGAAACCCTCTGAAATTCCGTGGCATCTCTCTATAAAGCCCAGGTGCCAGGAAGCTTGGCTGCATCATCTCTCCCTTCCGAGTCCACTCGCAGGGCTCCAAGACCGCAGCCTCTCTCGCAAGACAAGGCGCGCACAGGCTTTTAAGCGCAGGCACATCATCAGAGGCATTTGGCTGCGACACGCGTCCCTGGGGCACGAAGGTGACCAGCCTCTGACTGAAGCAGTGCAGCGAAGTGCTGGCCATCAGTGCACTCTAAAGTTCTCCCGAACTTCTCCTCAGCTAAAGCCGGAAAACTCCACCGACTGATGGGGTATCAGGAATCCATCACTGGCCGGGATACAAGATTGGAGGCTGCCCGGCCCAAGTAGTCCTTGGCCAAGCACTCAAAGCAGAGAAACCCTTCGGAGTGGTTGGGGTGCACGTCAGACGAGACTTAAATCCTCTGACAGCTCCGCCTGGCTCCTTTTTGACGATTACACGGTCAACTGGCCAGCAAGATGCCAGCTGGGCGACCTCACTGTCGACATGGCCGCCCAAGCTGCCTGCCGCACCGCGATCTCTCGCAGTATGCCATCTGTGGCAGTAGGCGTTCCCGGCAGGCAGTTCTTGTGCGGCGGGAGGAATAGGTGTGGAAGGTGCTTCAACATCGCCTGGCGGCGAGCAGAAATGGCTGCTCTACCAGATTCTTCCTGCGCCGCTGTGCTCAGCGTATCTATTAACCGACCAGCATCCTCCACATTTCTGATAGCACTAAATATTGCAAACTCCTCCCATGGTATTTGCCAAGTAAAAGGCACACTTACAAACATCGGCTCCATGGCGACGATCACCAGGATGCATGCCCTGGCCATTGCATCGAACGCCCGTCGACCCAGATCATACATGTGCCCAGGCAGCACGAGGCAAAACTGAGAGTTGGAGTAGATCTCATCGATGCTGCGCATGCCACTCTCATCAGACTCGGAGTCCAATGCCATTTTCCGAGCCCATTCTCCTACATCGTCGTCTGGAAGCACACGTATGTGAAAGCGGGGGTTGCGACTATAAGGTAAGGATGTGTCTTCCATCAGCTCCCTAAAGATTTGTCGCACGCGCGAGTTCTCCGTACCAACGAAAGCTACATCAATCGATCGAGCCCTGTCAGGCTTCGAAAGCTGGAGGAGCCGCTCACAGTCCAGCGTTACAGGGAAAGGAACAATTACCGTGCGCAGCATCTGAAAGCCCTTGCCAGGTGTGAACGCAAAGTCCGGATGGCCAATCTGGCGTACACCCCCAACCAATGCAAATACATTCACGGCAAACGGATGAAAGTTCGTGACGTCACACTCCAGGGCAGCACACACAGAATAAGGATGGCATGTGCCAGCTGAGATAAAATGGTCGTAGCCAGCATTCCGGTGCCAAAACTCCTCTCGAAGCATGCTCCAAGAGTTCGACATGCAGTTCAGCACAGCCACTTCATTCCTTTCTGTCAAGTCAATGTATCGCTCAACAAGCAAGCTGTAGAAAGCTGGGATATAAAAGACCGTTGCTTCTTTTGGGTCCTCCACACGCGCCGGAGAACGCATGATGGCGTCATGTACGGCCTTGATGTGCAAGGCATGCAGCTGAACAGCACGAGTCCAGCCAAATCCACTGTTCTGCGAGGTGAACAAATCCAGGAGCTCCTCCCCAGCACAGTTGGGTACTGGGTGGACATAGATCTTCACAGAATCCTCCAGGCCCTTGGCACCTCGCCAAGACCTTGCAGCCGCTTTGAAATCCAAAGCAATGGAGTCATGGAAGGCGGTTTTGGGCACATGGGCCATGACAAGGGACAAATCCTTGTCAGGGTCACCTGTCGGCGCAAGACCCGTCGGTGCACGAGTAGCTCCACCAACAAGCATACCAAACGTTGGCTTCACCGAGCTGGCATAAAAATCCTCAATGAACTCGCCTGCATTTCTGCATAGCAAGCCCAAGACTGCACAATCTCTGAAACTTCTGTGCCATGGTCTGCCAATCATCTCAACGAAGTTCGGCACGGTGCCAATGACAGCTGCTAGTTTCAGTTTGTGCGGGTAGCCTACTGCAGGGAGCTACCGGTAGGTGAAGGAGAGTCTGCATTGTGGTCTGTTACCCCCCGAGCTTGATGTGCTTGCGCGGTGTGTGCGATGTTGGGTGTCTCCTGTGCCGTTTTGTGTCCCTCCAAGAAACTTGGAGCTACTTTGCAACGCCACCCTGTGCTGTCTACCGACTCGTACTCTTCACTCGCAAGAAGGCGTAAACTTCTTGGACGCCTTCAGGCTATGCATGGTATGTTTGGTGTTGTGGAGGAGCTCCTATCTCTGCTTTGCACTGAAGCTGCTGAGCATCTCGAGCTACAAGGCAGGGGCGTGACAATCTGGTGGGCTGTGGACACATGTGGAGATCGGATGACTTCAGGCCCCGTGGCAGCCGTAGTGGCGCCGCAGCACGTCGTGGCCAATTCATGCAACTCACCTTAGGAGCCATGTTCCTTGTCTGCACACTACATCAACATAACTCAGAACCATTCGTTGATTCTACCAACTTATTTATTCGAACTCAACTGTCAAAGGGATGTGTGATGAGCTGTCAAAGGGATGTGTGATGAGGAGGTGTGTTAGAGAATGTTGCGGCGGGCTTGCTGATCTGGATTGAGTCGGATTGAGGGTTCTCACAGGGCTTGTTGGCGAGACCAGACGAAGCTTGCAGCAAAGAAAGCCCCAGATGATGCGGCCAAGCGGCGGCAAGCTGAGAGCACTGGGTTCACCTTGCACCGAGCCAACATGCCAAACAGAGCATTGCAACGTCTTGCAGCCTAGAGCCTTCACTTCACAACTTACGCGCCGCAAGCGCCGAAATTACCAGCAAGTTCCCTATGCAGGCGCAGTGATGGCACGTGCCTTGGTGCTGTCTTGCCTTGCGGTCAAGTACTGCGCCTGGAGGTGGGAAGCGACCTGGGACTTTTGTCACCACACCAAGTCCCCTCGAACTTTTCTCGGGCACCAGTACTTCTTCATGGCATGATGCTGGAAGCAAGACCATGTGTACTTTTGATGTATCTTACTTGTATCTTACGTCAATGCAGATCCATGGGGCCACAGGCCTTCCAGCTGGCAGTTTAATCCAAGCCCTTGGCATCTGGAGCCTCAGGGATGCCATATCTCGCTCGAATTGCAGCAAGGCCAGCGCTCAAGTCGCTGTTCGAAAAGTCAGCGCCTGTCATGGGCACCAGCATTTGCAATGGCATACGTAATTTCAGGACGACACAGTACAACACAGGTTAAAGCGTGAGTCTCACGCACGAGTCGAGTGCAAGGTCTGGCTGCTACATCGTGGAGCATCTACGATCCCTCCATGCCTGGCATAGGGACCTTGCACAGCAGAGCAGCAACATGCAGGAACAGAATCAACAAATATCAACCAAAGGCACCATGATTTACGCTCATGTACCCGTGTGTGTCTATGCCCTCCGAGCCTGCATCAGCCACTTTGCCATCTGATCTACGGAGAAGACGAGCGCCTCTCGGAGCCCCGCCTCGCGCAAGTGATTCCTCAGTTTGTCCCGCAAATGCTTCTTTTGCCAATGCTTCTCTTGCCAGTTCTCACATTTGCTGGGCATTTCTCGGAGTTACATAATCTTTTCAAGGGTCCACAACTGTGGAGCTAAACGCTCCAGCTTCTTCATGACTTCCCCATCCGGTGGGATCACGCCAGACTTGCCGGTCGCCTGTCCGTCACCAGATGTAGCGCGATGCTAGCAAAACTTGGCCAACTTCACCGTCATTGCGGAGAACTGCAGCCACTAGGACTGGAGCTCTAAAGGCGGACGTGCGCGATGCCACAGCCTTGTCAAAGCTGAATCCGTTGCTGATAAAGGCAACTTTGGCACCGGCCCTGCGCACCTGGCATGTGCCAACACTAGAAGTGAATGACGATGAAACGGTTTCATGCCGGAGTGCCCAACCTTGTCCCACAGTGCGTCCCAAACGAGCTCCTCCGCATGGAGCGGGATGCGCGTGTTGAACCCACTCTGAAAGATGAGGATGCCTGCCACATGTCGAATCTTCAAGGCAAGCGAAGAAGCAACCTACGACAACATCGAGTTCCTCTAAAGAGTCGAATCATCTCAGTTTGCCAAATCATCCGCTTTATAGTTTATAGTCGCATGCGCGCCTCCACGCTTGGGCACAATAAAGTCGAGGAGGTCCTGACCTGTGGCTACAGCTACAGGCTTGGCTAGATGACGGCATCGCACGCAGAAGCCATATATGCTGCCATGTGGCGGACACACGTGTCCTCAACAACCTGCCGTACTGACTTTATTCTTGGCCACGCTGCAGACCCGAGATGGAGACAACACGCAGGAACATGTCAGAAAGCCCGGATGAGGCGCCTCGAAGTTGAAGAACTGTGCGATGACACCAACTAGGTCAGCTTGCCGCGCCTGGCCAAAAACATCCTTTAGAGCACTCCGAGTCATCTGATCGCGCGTGGACGTGCATGGGCTATGAAGGGGGTGCCACCTCCTCTGGCAGATCTTCCCAGAACATTAGGGATCGATCGGCGGCTTGAGGAAACCCAGCAGAGCCATCCTTCAAGACAGAAAAAGGCACAGATACGGCCTATCCATGCACCCAACCAACACTAATCACTTGCCCCTTTTACCAAAAAGACCACCCTATTAATAAAAACACTTTCCGGAAAATCCTGCAGAAACCGACCCCGCCTTTTAAACCCTATTCCTATTCCGAATTAGGGGGCTAGACACCAATAAAATTTCAGAGGGTTCAGGGTTGGGGGTCTAGGGCTAAGGGTTTTTTTTCGCTCCCACATAGCTGGCCGAACCGCAAGCAGGGTTGATGATTGGTACGGCTAAGAGTTTAGGGCTTAGGGTTGGGGGTTTAGTGTTTAGAGTCCCGTCTTTTCGCAGCACGATGCTGTCGGTGAGCTGCCTGTCCGGCTGCCTTGAGTAACCCTGAAGTCTAATTAATTCGCCTCGGCTTCCTGCCGAGAAGCGTCTGGAACAAGCAGACGCCACCCCCCCCCCCCCCCCCCCGCCTGTGGACCCCCCCCAATCCCTTGGAGGAGCTGCAAACCGATGCCGTGGAGGGTCCCGCTTGTCGGTGGCTCCTACAGGGGAGTGCTTAAAACCCCCCCCCCCCACCCCCACCCCCCCCCAACCCCCCCCACCCCCCCCCCCCCCCACCCCCCCCCCACCCCACCCCCCCCCCTCCCACCCCCCCCCTCACCCCCCCGACCCCCCCGCCCACCCGCTCTGCCCTTCCTCCCTTTTTTTGGCGAAACCCTCTTTCCTCCTTTCCTGTCCTGGGGCCGGCCCGGCTGCCGAGGCGGCGCGCGCAAGCGTTTACAATTATGACATTTCGAGAAAAACCTCCCCCAAATAATAAAAACACATTTCGAGTTTTTATTGGGGGGGGGGGGGCGTTTAATATTAGGGGGATGGGATTATTCGGCTCATGGCTGTGTTGTTGAAATGCATGCGCGAGCCACAAAGTGGGCTGTGCATGGCTGTGCTCAGCTTGCAGCCATGGCTCTCGGTAGGGTGCGTAGGTATCCTTCTCATGGCGCGGCGCAGATTTCGCAGGCCGCTTGGATGCCAGCGCGCGGAAAGCAATCGGACAACCTCTGCAAAACCCGTCGCTTTCATGACATGGCCACGTTAAGTGCAGCAGCGTGCTGCAGGCATGAAGCCCCTGAGCCTCGACTTGGTTGACCGTTAGGCGTTGAAAACGAAGCGGGCTCGAGCATCGAACTTTGTTGCATGCGCGACCCATTTGAGCCGGCACACCGCCACCGCGCTCCTTCACAGCTGCCTCTGCCGCATTGAAGACATGCTGCGCTAGACAAGCTGCAGCTTCAGAATCACGGATGCCGGTGATAAAGACATCCTCAGATCAAAGTGGTGGACCATGGAGTGCAGTTGGATGCACCACTTTCACGCGTGTGTTTTTAGTATAAGGTCTCGCAACGTCATTTACACACATGCATACATACGTACATACATACATAAATACATGCATACATACATACATACATACATACATACATACATACATACATACATACATACACATATATATATATGTAGTTGTAGGATACAGGCAGCCAAAGATCCACCTCCACTTTGTGATGTGCCGGACGGGCAAAGTTGTGCATCAGAAAGATCCACCTGGCTGCGACACGCTCAGCGCCTTTACCGGACATCTGCGACCATTGGTGAGCGGCAAGCCCATGCAAGCCAGGCAGATTTGTGTTCAGGTTTCTCTAGTGCTCTCAAGCCAATCAAGCCAGCAGTACAAACAAAGAACATCGTCCAGCTTCACGTCGCTCACCAGGACAGCCCTGGCCTCCCAAAACAAGCAGATTTTCACAGAGCGTGTCGGCCTCGGTGTGTGTGTGTGTGTGGATGTGATTACTGCAAACGTTACCAAGCGCGCCGTTGTTTCATCCAACAAGCGCCATCGTGACGTGCTTGTGGCTAGCCAGTAAAGCGTGGTTCACCTCTGCTCCCTGCACTATAGTCAATGGTCGCAGGAATGCTTGAGAAGCTCGACTCGGCTTCTGTCTGTCACCCCGCTGGTACATCAGGTATTCTGTGCTCAACTCATGACATGGGTGCAAACAACGATCATCCTTGCTGTCTGCGCCTGCTCCAGGGAGAAGAAGCTGCTAAGCTCATCCAGCCGCTTTGCTGCGGAATCGGACATTGCAACGACGGGTTTCGGTGCAAACCTCGTCACTGTAGAGTACTTAAAAGCTGGGCTTCGGGAGTGTGTCAAACATTGATGAGTTTGAGGCGCGTCAAGGCTCCATACCATCGGTGCGTGGCAGCAATGGCGAGTACTGCTGACATCATCTGAAATAGGTACAAGGCGTCGAAGGCTATAGGACTCGAAGTGAGCTGCTGTCGTTTTGACGTGATCTTGAACTTGAGCTGGGGCCGGGAGCGAGGAGGCGAAGGCGCTGAGGCAGCAGCTTCGATCACAGGCTTGAAAAACACGTGAAGACATACTGTACGGTGCTTTCGGCTTCGGAAGGTATCTTCCACTTGTCCTGTCATGAGCTCGAAGGTCTGGAACCACGTCGAACTCAACCTAGGAATGCCGGAATGCCAAGAAAGCATGGCTGCACTTGGGGGGGTGGGGGGGATAATTCTAAACTTCCAAAATTATCAGGGCCTTATCGATACCTCTTCTAATCGGATTCTTTTCAACAACGCCCCTCAAAAAATGGGACCTTCTAATAGCCTTCATTTAGAACAACCCTCCCACGTGGCTGCCTGTTGAGAGCCGGGCCTCAACCGCGTGAAGGCTTTGGACGCGCAATGCCACGACTCTCGCCTTAAAACACATCTCTCTGCATACCACACATCTACAGGATCAAAGCAGACGCGCACAAAAAACAAAAGACCACCCAACCATGTTGAAAGAAGCGTACCCAACAAGATCGGCAATTCATGTTTACCTCTTTCTGGCAAAAAACCAAGCGAGTTACGAGGTGAGTTGTTCATGCATGAGAGGGTTGCAGTAGTTGCACGACCCATCTTGTTTGACTCACTGAATGGTGCGGACTCCAATCGGCCGGAGTTGCTCACCCTCTGTTGCCGGCTTGCTTGCATGGTTGCCTGACTTACTTGCTTGGCTGCCTGGCCTGCCAGTGTTTTGACGACTAAAAATGGGGGAGAGACTGGACTCTCTGAGACGATGAACGGGACACCACGTCTTCTCAGTGCCGAGCAGGGCCGAAGCCGCAAGTATGTAGGAGCAGGCCTGTGTCCTCCCGGACCTTGACGAAAAACAGCATGGCCACTGTAGGGCAGCGAAATCACATGGTATTGTCTAAGGCTACGCTGTGCTGTACGGATACCTTCTTCGACACAGGCCGTAAACCATGCAGGGTGCTCAGTATGCATCACGAGCACACGAGAGAGAGACAGAGCGAGAGAGGGAGAGAAAAGTGCATGCAGATGCCTGTGCACAACCGGATGTGCAATTCACCAAGATGGGCAGGACTGAACCTGAGTGTGCAGAAGCGCCATGAGAGCAGGCTTTTGGTTGTCTGAAGCCGCGCTTGCTTACTAAGCATCATGCCGCTGGCTTCCTCACAAGTTGATGTGGGAGCCGCCACTCGAAGCCTGCAGCTGCTCACAGCATGAGCGCAGTCGCTACTCCTCTTTGGATTGTCGACAAACAGGGCCGAACAATTGTGCACGCTTGTGGGGGAACGAGGACAAGGTGCAAGCAGGCGTTCAGGCAGTATGCTCAGGCCTGCTGCGGGATGACAAATTGGCTCCAAACACCTCCAAGCTGACAGGAATCCCAGTTGAGACCTGATCCAATTTGAAGGCTTAACGAGTGCTGCTGTTTCCACAGCTCTGCTCTGTGTGCTGCTCTCTACGACCAGAAGTACATTCTGAGCACCACTCGAGTACCATAGCGGATGCGAATCAATGCGATAACAAGAATCCTGTCTGAGAGCGCCGCAATCCAGTCCTTGCAGCTCAGGCAGTCATAGGATAAATTTTGCAATTGTTGATGTCGCCCGAGCCTTCCCCTGGATGCTCGAACATCGGCTGTAGTACAAGAACCCCTGCCAGTCGCAGAGTTGCTGCGAGGGTTTGCGCGACAAACCGTGGCCTGGAGGCAGGCCGCCAACAGGAGTCTCCCCATTGCATGGCTGCGCGCGCATGCGAGCATGGAAGGCCCAGCATTGATTGGGCTCTCCGCACAAGGGCAGAAAATGAATTCCTGGTCGGGACTTGCAGATTCTGCGGCGTGCAAGTCTTACCCATTTTGCATATGACTGAGAAAGGCTAGGTCATAGTCCAGAGTTGAACAACAGCCGCGGTTGTACATTAACATTCTCTGCAGGCTGCCTTTATGAGACATACTGGCCCTACCCATGATGTCTCTCATTGTAAATGAGAGGCACAACTTTGGTGCCTTCGGTGACAGCTCACAGCCGTCTGCAATGTCCGCAGTGCGTCAGGGCTCAACTCCACATGAACATCTGCAAGTGCTCTGAGCGCAAGGATGACCTCTGGAGCAGCCGTAGAAGTCACCTCAAGTAAATCTGCAATACAAAGTGCGCTGCTGACTCTGCAGCGTGCGCGCGGTTTGCAACATCGCTGGTCATCACTTTGTCTGCGGTTCCATGTGGTTCCTAACACCAGAACGACTGGAAGTGAGCAAAGCAAGTCTTGTGAACACCCTTGCGCCTCACAGGAACCATCCGCACGAAGCACAGCCTCTGCAATGGGAAGAAGGAGAAGAAGGCGACAGGCTACTGCGGGAAGATTTCGATTCTGCAAGAGCACAGAAAAGGTGGGCTATGCATAGTGCATGGGGCATTGAAGGGGCCTCGCTTGGGCAGTTGCAGCGGTTGAACCTCAGCAGACCAGCCCCATCAAGAACGAACCATGCTGGCATTTCTAAACTGAAAGGGTGAGGGGCTGGCATTATCATTAACATCAAAGCTGCAGTTTCAAGACCCTCCAGCTCACGACTGACACTGAACACAGCGCCTGCAGATCCAAGACACGCGTGCGCATAGGGCCCACAACCGTGAGTGTTCAGACCCAGCCGGTTCACGTAACACGACTGGGCATTTGTGAGACTCAGTTCAGCGCACTGGCTCACAGAACACCTTGTCACCACAAGACATGCACCAAAAAATGCCTAGGTGTCCCTACACATGTCGGGTGCTCAATGTTTCGCGCCGACATTACAAATATCCCACATCACAAGGCAAAAAGCAGCTGCATAGAGCCTGATGGCGATCTGAGGCTTGGCACGCCCACGCAGGTCGTGCCATTATTCACAGTGCTGCAAGCCTGGCAGTCTCTTGGGCTCTTGACATCTTAAGCCTTTTTCTGACCTAGCTGAGCTAGCTGGTGCATTTCTAATTTCTAGGCTGCTGGCAGCAGTGCAGTCGCCATTTGTCGCACAGCCCCCCCTGATGCCAGGGCGCCAAATCAAAGAAAGTGCAGTGTCATGCCAGCTGCTGAGCGGAAAGGTCATCATCTGCAACTGTTGCTGTCGAGAATCGTGGACCGAAAGCACAACGCAAAGAATAGTACCTGAGCGCGGGGGAGCAGCGAGCAAAGCCAATGACTCCTAAAGGGCAACCATTTATGATGCTAAGGTGTGCACAAGGGCAAGCCATCGGGTTCCGATGGCCTGGATCATCCGAAGCAGAGCGCGTGACTCCAACCCTAGTGCAGCCAGTGCATCTGAGGAAAGGGCTTGACACACTGCAGTTGTTGAAAACATGGTGAAAAGCAGCTACGTTGAGCAGAAATAGCGCCAGCCGTAACACGTAGAGTATGTGAAAGCACAAGCTTCGCGCGAAATGGCTGTCGGCACTGAGCATGCAGCGCGGTTCAAACGCTGCCAGCCGAATGGTGGCGATTTGTGACTCTCAGGTATACAAGTAAACCACGCTTCGAGTTGCGCGACCCTGCAAGCTTCGGCGTGCAGCATCGGCATCAGTGAAGCCTGGAGCGCCCGTTCTAGGCAAAAGGAATCGCGTCACCAGGGTGAGGAGGCTCAATGATGCTGATGATGCTGGCAGTACGGGCAGGATTGGCCCGCTTCCTCGGGGGGCGTGCATTGTTGCATGTTAACCTATGTACAGTATCAGCCCCTCTCTGGCAAACAGGTAGGAGGGAAAGTTTCGTGGTCACACGGTCCGCGACCCAAAGCAAAACACTTCTTGCAAGCCGCGTTCAAACCATTTGGACTCCTCTAGACTCTAGAACATAGGCTAAAGCGTTCTGCTCTCTGTGTGTAGGCGCAAATGGTGTATGGGACTGTCCTCGGTTGCAGTTCTTTGCCCAAACATGTCCAGGTCCATGGCCTTGAAAATTGCGTGGCTCCCGTGCAAATGCCTTTGGGCACGGTTCCCTCTAAGGCTCAAAGGATGCGCCGGGTATCGCTGAGTCATAAGATGTGACCGCTTATTGGCTACCAGTACTTGCCGGCTGAAGACTATCTTCTGCAGTGGAAGTAGTCTCTCAAGTCCTGTTCAAAATTTAAAGTGTTAAGGTGAGCCGACATTGAGTCTGTGGCCGCACAGGCCATGTTAACCGGTCACAGGTCCTTTTGATGGAGCCGGGCCATTGGGGCGAAGTGCACTTTTTCAGCTTGAAGCAAGTGCCTGTCAGCAAAGCTAGCAAGCAGCTCAGTAAGCCGGTCCTGATTAGGCGCGGAGGTGTGTTGTTCTACACTGTTGGGCATGTCATTGTGTCCGGTCCTCCTGCTCAGCTGCCCGGGCGCATGACAATGCATGCCTCAGCAAAGGACAGAGGCTCAAGGTCTCATGTGTGCCTAGCGACTGTGACGACAGAACATGCTCCAGCTGAAGCTGCTGCACGCCATCCCAAATGCCAGACGCCGTGCATCTCAAAACGCGCCGTCTCTTTTTGCGGCGGCCACTACACATTGTTTCTTCGCCAGGGTCTGAAGCCGAGCATGGATGGCTTCCTGTCAAATTGAACAGGAAGTGATCATGGCAAGAGGGTGTTCAATGCCTGAAAAATCGGGTGGTCATAACATGCAGGCCAGCCATAGAAGACAAGGTAGCTGTGACGTGTAATCTGCAAGCCTCCAAAAGCTGCTAGCGGTCCCATCGTTGGACTCAGAAGCCTGCTTAGACATGCTACGCCGTACATCTTGCTCACATCATGAGTCGTCATGTCATGTTATCGGGTCATGCGACCATATTCACAGAGATCCGAGGTCCACGCGTACGATCTCGCAGAGGATCGACGTGAGTGCCAGGACCGTGCTTTCTCTGAGCTCTCACCAACTTGAGCCTCCCCAAACCAGCGATTGCATTGGCACAGTTTTGCTACACTTTCTGGCGGCACGGTAGCTAATGATGCGATGTTCGGCCTTGTGCGCGCTGTGGGCATCCAGGGCGAGCAGCAGCAGCTGTGCTTCACGCAGTGCCATCTGCTGACGCCCTTTGGCCTGCCATTCTTGGCACTTTTTTTCTGGATCTAAGCACTTCAGTCTGGCAGGCCAGCGGCCGGGTGCGTCGGCCATCTCGCTTGTTGCAGTTTCAACATGGCGATGCATGGAGCACCACTGCAGCTGAGAACAACCACTGGCCTCCAAGGTCACTGGCCACGTGTTGTGGTACTTGTGAATCGCCTGAAGCTGTGTCTCAGCCTATGCTCGACCAAAGTGATGGACGGACCTTGGACTTCTTGACACGGCATTTGCAGGAGCCTTGGTAACCGTATCCCTAGGGATCGGCTCATCCAAACGGATCCAGACGGAGCCGAGGCAGAAGTGGCCCTGAGCGGATGCCTGCGCAAAGATAGTCAAGCGCAGACTTGGGCAACCCTTCTGAGCAGAGACTCTTTGTTGCCCGTAGAATTGCCCTTTATTGCTTGAAAGACTTGCGCCTTGGCTTTGTAGCTTTGCAAAGCCTCCGAGACGGACTTGCCCTTGCCCTCCAGCTCACTCATCCTGCCGTGTTCCACTGCTTCGACCAGCTCCTGCAGCGACGGCCTCACCCCAAGTGAATTTTAGGCTCTCATTCTTGCACGGTGCTTAGCTGATTACCGCACACAGAGACGAAGCTAATGCGTGTGCTGCCGAGAGACTGGTCGGGCACGGCAGATGTCGCCAGTGAGGTGACAGTGGCTGTGGATTCTGCCAGCTCATTCTCTGCAGCTTCTAGCGCCCGGGGCTCAGAGTCTGACCGTCGAAGCCGGGCGACGAAGCTGGGTCGGATCCGCGTCAGCGGAACCTTTGTTCCGGCGTCATCGTCGTCGTACATGTGACCTTGTCAAGTGGCAGGGTACTTGTACAACGTTTGAAGCATGAGAAGCATAGTAACCACACTTTCGGCACGAGCTATGCAGATGAAATTCAGACAGAAGGCAAGTTGGCTGTTCCGCATAGCATGCATCAAACAGCAGATCACAGTACCTTATGTAAATGCAGCAGGAATCCAGGAGTATGCACAGCAACGTCAAGCGCAACATTGTTGCTGGGCGAAGGACTCAGACATTGCATGATCTGCAAAACCATGCCGGCTAAGACGGAAGTCCCGCTGCCAGTGAAATGAAGGCCGATCCTCGCACGAACAATCCATGGTTTAAGAGGCAACCCGTTCCCAAATGGCCCCCCCTACGACATGCACCAGTGTACACCGGTTTTTCATTCCATGAACTGTCCTCCCGGCTCAAGACTCGGATGCTGGAAAGGTGGAGGAAGCCCGCTGCGCACCCGGCAATGTGCCGATCCATGTCGGGTCGGGAAAGCCTCAGTGCTTGATCGTGCGGGAAGGATTCGCCAAGCCGCAACCTTTCCCATCACCCCGGCCCCCGTCGAGACATGTCGAGACACAATGCGCTGGAGAGGGCCTGGATCACGCGAGAGGCGATCTGCCGGCTCACCAGGTTCTTATCCTAGGAATTTCCACCCCTCCCCGCCCCCCCCATTCCCCCATCCTTCTATGAAGTCTTGTCCATGCCGATTCAGGTCTAGGTGAGAAAACTTTCAAGCTTTCAGCATGAACGCATCAGAACTGCTCATCACATCCCGAATTGCACATACTTATCCTCGCGGTCTCCTTGAGCTGCTCTTTCATGGCCTCGGCCGCTTCCCGGATCACGGCGCGGAGGTCCACAGCAGACCAAGCACGTGGACAAGGGTCCCCTGGATGAGAGATGGGAGCCAGAGGATAGAAATTATTCAAATATGTGGGTGTAGGGGGTCTACTGAAATTCACTGTGTAAGTACACAGTGAGCTCGCTCTCATGTCTGTGCCTGCATTGACGAAGTTCACGGCCTTGGTTTTCAGGAACTCCTCAAACTTGGAGTACTTCCTCGGCTCCAAAATGTGATTGTTCGATGCGAACGTCCGCTTTAATTCAACTCGGACATCAGACGACATGCCGACGCATTCCAAGCCTGACGGTGCACCTAATGCAACTTGTGGATCAGAGCCTTTGCTCTGCTTACTTCACTGCTCACACATGTTTCGCCAGAGCGTCTCATCTCCGGGACCATCACCATCGCGACCAAAGCACCTGGGCGACTGGAGCATTCCTCCGACAGAAAAGAGTTCAACTCTCGGTATATGAACGTGCGCCTGTACATCTGTAGAATGGGGTAAAGTTGGGCTTGTAAAGTCAGGTTAGGCACATGGGAGCCCCGAAGGCCACGCAGCGCGCGCCGCGCAGAAGCGCACGGCCAGGGCCCCTGAGGCGACTCCGCTCCTTGCAGAAATAGGGAGCCATTCTTTTTCTTCTCAGCAGGCATGAGCTGAAGAGGTGAACCCCTCATTATTTCCACTGCACCTACGTCCTACGTACCAGAAGAACGGATCGGGATCTGTGATACAGCGGATCGAGCTGGACAGAACTGGTGTTGTCGTAGGGTGTTGTGTCCTATAATTCCCCCCAAACTTCACCATACATGACAATCACGATCCCGCGTCTACGCAGGCGCACGCGGACATGTGTGAGTGTCAGAGTGAGTGAATGACAAAAGAGAGAGAGAGAGAGAGAGAGACAGAGAGAGAGAGAGAGAGAGAGTCAAAGAGTGTGTGTGTGTGTGTGTTGTGTGTTGTGTGTGGTGTGTGTTGTGTGTTGTGTTGTGTGGTGTGTGGTGTGTGGCGTGTGGGGTGTGGTGTGTGGTGTGTGCTGTGTGTGCTGTGTCTTGTGTCCTGTGTGGTGTGTGGTGGGTGGTGTGGTGTGTGGTGTGTGGTGTGTGGTGTGTGGTGTGTGGTGTGTGGTGTGTGGTGTGTGGTGTGTGGTGTGTGGTGTGTGGTGTGTGGTGTGTGGTGTGTGGTGTGTGGTGTGTGGTGTGTGGTGTGTGGTGTGGGTGTGTGGTGTGTGGTGTGTGGTGTGTGGTGTGTGGTGTGTGGTGTGTGGTGTGTGGTGTGTGGTGTGTGGTGTGTGGTGTGTGGTGTGTGGTGTGTGGTGTGTGCTGTGTGCTGTGTCCTGTGTGGTGTGTGTGTGTGTGTTGTGCGTCGTGCGTCGTGCGTCGTGCGTGTACGTGTGTGCGTGCGTGCGTGCGTGCGTGCGTGCGTGCGTGCGTGCGTGCGTGCGTGCGTGCGTGCGTGCGTGCGTGCGTGCGTGCGTGCGTGCGTGCGCGTGCGTGGTGCGTGCGTGCGTGCGTGCGTGCGTGCGTGCGTGCGTGCGTGGTGCGTGCGTGCGTGGGTGGGTGGGTGGGTGGGTGGTGGGTGGTGTGTGTGGGTGTGTGTGTGTGTGTGTGTGTGTGTGTGTGTGTGTGTGTGTGTGTGTGTGTGTGTGTGTGTGTGTGTGTGTGTGTGTGTGTGTGTGTGTGTGTGTGTGTGTGTGTGTGTGTGTGTGTGTGTGTGTGTGTGCGTGTGCGCGTGTGTTTGTGTTCGGTCAGAGTGCAGCTTGGTGGCTGGGACACAGGTCTGCATCTCTCGCCAGATGAAATACATGCCAGACATAGCATACATTCCACCCAATGAGTGGCCCGTCAGGACCAAGTGGCGAACCCCGCTGTCGTAAGCAGCGTCCAATTGCTTGGCAAAAGAGGATGCACTTTGGACCTTAAAGAAGAATAAGTTGCGCATGACTCCGGCAGCACCTTTGTGCATGAAGTGCGTGCCGTCACCAATGACCTCATAGTCATGCTCCAGGTTCCAGTTAATGAAATCCAGCAAGTATGAGCTGCCCTTGAATACCACAAAGAGCGTACGGTGTCTCCCCGGCAGTTCGGCTGTAACAAGAGCGACTTTCACGCTCCCGGTGTGCAGGTCTTCGCGCACGCAGTCCGCAACAAGAGATATTCCAGGAATTTCTGGGAGAGGTTCAGAAACATCATCGGCTCGGTAAACCTCACAGTCCCAGTTGTTAGTCTGATGTCGGGTCAATGCATGCCAGCAAGCACTTAGGAGTCGTTTCACACACCATAACATGCCACGGAGCCCACTGGCTGAGGTTGGCAGCTACCAATTCTTCCAGTCGGTTGGGCTCGATCGGCAGCTGGCCTCTGGATGTCTCTGCCACAAGGGGGGGAGAAGAGCAGAAAGGAACACAAAAGAGAACACAATTTGAACACAATTCAACGAGAACACAAGTCAAAGCAGCTCCTTTCACCGGTTTTTGTTCTGCAGAGGCTGGGCCGAAGGCTCGGCCGAAGGCTCGTTGTGCTGGGTCGGGGCTCCGGCCGCGATCTTGAAGCAGCAAGGTCCTATAAAGCAGTCTGAGAGCACCGAGAGAAGGTGTCTGAAAACGCAAAACAATCGGACACGTGCTCTGACATGTTCTTAAAGCAGTTTTCTTCTACCGTCCTCCTGCAATTCTCGAAGTAGGCTCATCACCGCCTCAGGGTCCACGAGCCGATATGGCAGTTTCAGAGGTGTTGCCGACCGCACAGGCCAACAAACTCAGCAAACACAAGCTCATCCCGACGATCTTGGTCAAACAAGGTGGCCCTGTCTCAAGCGCGACATCTGTACAGCGCGAAGACCTGTCGACCAACTGACATGACGGAGATAAGTTGGGCTTAGCCCGTCTCTGTTGACAGTCTACCCTAGAGAGAACCAGGCTCAGATAGACCAGCGGATGCTAGCATTGCTAGCTTTGCAGCCAGCCATTGATTTCAAGCGTGATGTTGTCATCAAGCACGTGGATCAAACAACGCGCGATGTTCTCCACATCGTGCATGCCTAGGTGGTGGAAGCCATGCTGGGGATTGCCATTCCTGTCAAGCAGACGGAGTCTCGCAAGCATACTCTTCATGCCTCGAAACTCTCCTCCATAGGCTTCTGAGTATGTCCGCTTGATGTTTATCCACTGTCCAAAGGCGCGAGGATATGGCACACCGCAAATGCCACATTGGGTTCTGATGTGCTTGCAGTCCCAATCACCACAGGTGACGAAAGCAACATCCTTTGCTCCGTGTAGGCTTTTAAGCCTGCGACCGATCTTCTCGGAAAGCCAAGCGCTGAACTCTGACAGTACATCCGGGAAGGGAATGGCAGGCGTGTCCATGACAGCGCAGCCTTCAAACAGCTTGGCTGGGCGCACAAATCGCTGAAACCGTCCTAGTTCCTTTCCGGCGACAGCATCGATCAGCAACACAGGAAATTCAATGATCTCGTGCTTACCTTCCAAATCGAAAACAAGGAAATATCGAATGCTCTGCGACGGATGCCCGGTGGATGCTGATGGTGCGGACGGAGCTACTGGCTTCTCCTGCCTTTTGGCCCAACGCGTTGGCTTATCTGGAGGTATACTGGCTTCAACTGTCCCACCGCTGTCCGGACTCCACCCGAATCCCAAGTCAGAAAGGTCGTCGGCATGTCCTGAAGTCTGCGAAGGTACTGGCTTACACCGCAGCTTGTGGGAAAACACCCGTGGGAACAAGGTGCTGGCCTCCTCAGGCCCCAGCAACTCGGAAGCCGCTGCCCGCAGCGCCTGCTTACAAGTGGAGTTGCCTGGACTCAGCCACTCCTCCCTGATGGCTTCGGCATATGCGATGGAATGCTGGACTGAGCAGGCTTCTCCATGGTGGCAATAGCCGGCCATGAAGTAACCACAAGGTCCGGTGCGATCGTAGACAGGCGCAGCACGAGACTCCGGGTTTCCGTCGCCCCTGCCCTTGCCTCCCTTGCCTCCCTTGACTCCGCTGCCTCCCTTGCCTTCCCAGCCAGACTGGCCCTTTCCAGCTCCTCCCTTTCCTTTCCCTTGCTGAACGCAAGCCTGAAATGGAGTTCTTCGGCGAATCTGACCACTAGCACGATCCACTTCCAAGGCTTTGGAATGTTGCAGGGCATCTGCAACTTCCTCGACGTTGGTGTTCATTGCCTTGATCTTGTTGCAAGACAAGATGTAAGGGGATATGGCAATCCAACCGTTATTCTCAGCGAGCAATTTGCTGAAAAACTTGTCGTTGGCCAGATTCCCATCAGACAAGTAGTACTCTATCTGCCCGAGGATTGCATCTGCCTTGGGGGTCCAGCTGGCTTCTTTCCCAGACCATGTCTGAGCCATCTCGCGAAGTTAGCGGGGGGGGAACTTGAAATCTTGAGGCTTGGGCTGCTTCCGCGGCTGCAGTCGGAACAAACCAACTCAGACATACTTGTTATCCGGATTGCACCCTACACGAACTGATCTGTCAGCGGCCTCGTCGTCGCAGCGGACCTCTGCTTCACACCGGATCGGCAGAGCTTCCGGGTCGAGGGTTGTAGAGTTCCACGAGGACTGAGCATCCACAGCTTCTTCTGCGGGCTCTCCTTAGATAGTTGTGGACAGCAACTGGCAGCCATGAGGCCATCAGCACTGACCGGAGTGTGCGAAAGATGCCTTCTACCAAGCGTCTGCCTTCACTGCCCGGCAGCGAGCCAGATTGGACCTGCTATGCGAGATGTCTACTAAACAACCTTGTAGACTTATGGATACTTCTGGCCTCCCCAGAGTGGCCAAGTTGATCAGAGAAAGGCATTTGGGTGCTGCAGCATGCCGCCTCCAGCGGCATGGTGTCACTCCTTGCATGAGCGCCAGGCCGCGAGCATGTAGCTGAGCCTTGGAGAAGCAAAAGGGTGGGGCTGAATCTTCCCCTCCAAACTTTATGCGAACTGCGGAAACGCTTAGTGCTGGTGTGGCGCCAGGGTTGGACCAGCATCTGAGGGCTGCGGTCAGCACCTGAATGCGCATACCAACAGGGCTCACTAGGGCCATTAGGGGCTTGGTGTTAGATTTCTAGTGTTTCCTCAGTCATTTCTGGCGCCCTTCTTCCGTGCGATCTTATTTCTATTTACAGTCATTGCAGTACCAAGGGACCCTCATTCCAAACAAACCCCGTAATTTTGCGTGGAAAGACAGCCCAAACCAACGCACTGCTTCGGCTCAAGCGATATCAGTTTCCCGTGGCGTGGCTGATGCGGCGCTGTCCATCTTCACTCACGTGGCACTGCGAAAATAGTGCGGTCCCATGCAGGCCTGCGCATGCACAACCTCCTTCACAAGGAGCCTTGGATGATGACTGCATAAGTACTGCATACTTCGAGTCGAGCGGGTCCAACTTGAAAACTGCGATGTTCGAGACTGAATCTGCAGGCCCTGTAATATACTGCCTGGTAGAGGCCGAGTATTGCCAACGGCATGTCCCAGCAGAAGAAGTGGTGACTTGCTGGCCGGGAAGCTGCAACTGCAAGTCTGCTATGCTTCGGCGCAGACTTTGCATTTCCGCGTCCATGCACTCCATGGCCTTGCACCTAGCAGCTATAGCATGGCGCAGAAGCAGCGGATGGCTGCTCAAACGCCCATGAATTGGACGTAAACATCAGTCGTGCCGTCACGTACTCGAAACAAAAGCCGCAACAGCGATTGCAGACGACAACAATTTAAGGACGACAACAGAACACAAAGAATCGAACATGGACATAGATGGCAAAAGCAGGCCTGGACTCCGGCGCAAGCAGCTCATCCGGTACAACGGACATGCTTCAGTTTCAGGCAGAAATGCGTGCTCTGACCAACTTGCACCATACAAGTTGTGAAGTGAGTCCGCCTTTGTAAATGCATGCGCGACAGGAGCGGCCCTGGCCTGTGCTGTCTTTATGTCGAACCCATCATGCGGTGTCCATGCTCTCTATAAGTGCAGCTGAGACAAGTGTGGTCTACAAGCTGACCTCTGCCTGTGATTTGTCCTATTATGCTGTTAGCGCCCCGACTCTCTACCTTTGCTCTGCGTTGCAGCGATGTCAAACTAAAGCTGCGGCAAGGCATTCTATCAGTGCAGCCTAATTGGCTGCAAACCTTCCACTGTTCCACGCTCAAGACGTCTGAGCTGATGCCAGGTCAACCCAAGTGTTTACAGAACCTCTACATTGCGAAGCCAACTCGGAACTGACTTTGCAACATTTAAGTAGCCCTGGCCACGTAGGAGGCTGCAGCTGCCAAAGTAACATCTTCCTTCACTTGTGCTCATGTGGTCATAGATCCGACGCTTATTGCATCTCCGGGGAGGCCACCGCGACGCTTCCCAGCACGGCAGTTGCACCTGGGAGTTTCGGCAAACAAAGTGCTGGAAAGATGCATCTCCGGGGGTTCTACTGCCTCTCATAGTAAGCTGGCAGATGCTAGCAGTGGGCTGGTGCAGCTGCAAATCTTGAGGCATGTGTATCGGTACTGCAACATTCAGCCCAATCATCCAAAACTAATGGCTACCATTGACTGCCACATGGAGATTTGCTTGCTCACCTGCATTTCTGCTGGAAGCTCTACGCAGCACGAACTCAGCACAAGACCCGCGGCCCACGCAAGAACCTTGGTTCGTGCTTCCGACAACCATGATAAGTGCATTCACAGCATGTCCTGGCACTGGTCCACATCATGAAGTCATGATCGATGTACCACTCTGCCATGATGGAAGGCGCTGGCTGAACTGGAACCAGCCTTGCCTTAGCTTTGCTTGGGGCTTCAAGGCTGAAAAGAGTCAGTGTGTCACTCTTGTCAACCCAGGGGGTGAGGTACTGTACTTGCCAAGAGCTGCTTTTCAATGCTCACCCTTGATCGCGCACGCAGTTGTCATCCCAGGCGCCATCACGTTTCTTCTCGAGCAAGTACACGACCTTCCGGACCTCAGAACTGAAGATCCAATGGCAAGGAGGGGGAATCTTCCCGACGCTGAAATCACACGCGTGGAGCCAGGCAATCGCCTTTGGTGTACCCTTTTTAATCAAGAGACCCTGCAAATAGCCGAATAGCATCCTGACACCTATTGCTCTGGTTGTATGCAGAACTGAAACTTAACAAAACACCCGTGCAACCCTCGCAACCCCATGGCCTTCAGGACTCTCAAAAAACAACTTGCGTGTTCTTCTCACCGCTCATCGCATGACATCTCATTATTCTCATTCTGCGGCACACTGGCACGTGGATGCACAGTACCCTCTCGACAAAATCAATGGCTGGGATTTTGAAATCGAATGATTGGCTAAGACTCGCGTTCAGTTCACGGCTGCCGACTGCCCTTTGAAACGTCGTCGTGCTCTCTATGAAATGGCCCGACGTCTGCTACGTGCACGTCACGTCGAAGGTTTTCACTGAGAGCCTCGGCCCTAGCTTGCAATAAGACATGCAGTTCGGCTCCATGACACGCATATCTTACATGGAGGAGGGCTGGTCATTTGAGAGTGGCATGCTTGGAAGAGAAACTCCTTGACTTTCCTTAAATTGCCTTGGACGCCCGAGACCCATGCCGAGATGTCGCGCTTGCCGAAGCTGGGGCAACGACTCGCCTGAGCAATGCGGTCAAGACATGCCAAGAACATCCAAAGCTACATGTGCATGCAATGCCACAAGACTGCAAGATGTATTGGTCAGAAACCTTTTGGCCGCTGATGAGGAATGCCTGCCCCTTGCCAAGTGCCCTGAGACTCACAGGAGCAGGCGATCGGCTATCGCTGTCTCTCAGCGTATCGGTGGGTGGATGATGGTGCTGTCACATGCTGTCAAGCCCCGAAGGCAGGCGTCAAGTCGAAGTGTCTGACCGCGACCTGCGATCCTGATCTGAGAAGCTCCTTGCGGATGCGTAACTTGAGGTTGCCCAGGTCCCACAAGCCCCGGTCACCACGGCATGGGATGGGACGCTCGAACTCAATGGCCTTGGAAATGACATTGCAAACAGGGCCACGCGCCCAGATGTAGTTGGGCGTGCAGTCTTTGGGTGCGCAATGCCTCTGGACATAGAAGAGCCCGGCGATCGCCCGGTGGGGTAAGGATTCCTCGTCCGGGACGTCGGGCCAAGCCTCCAGCGTGCGCTGCCTCCGTTCTTCATTGATCTGTTGAGCCCCGGAGTGGAGTGCGTACCAGCCACTCGGGATTGCCCAGGTGCGGTTCTCAAGAAGTTTGATGCCTCGCAGGATTGCATAGACTTGCTGCGCGCCCTGCAGTGTAAGCGCCTTGTGGGCATGTTGCACAGCCTCCTCAAGTTCAGCATCAGGCAGAGCTGGCAAGGCAGGCTCCGAACTCTCGCTGGCTGATCGTTGGAAACGGCCCTTTCCAGCACCTTTGCTTCGGCCTTTGCCATCACCTTTGCCTTCGCCTTTGCCTTCGCCTTTGCCGCCCTTCCCAGCGTAATTCCTCGGGTAATGGCCTGGACGGGCCTCGAAATCCTTTCCATTGCTCTTGGGGTTTTGATGTAGCATGTGTGGGAAATCAGCCAGTGACCCCATCCAATGGCCACTGTCCTTCTCCCTGTTACACCACACAATCACAGAAATTCGCGGACCACAGTCGGGGCCCTCTTGTGGAATCATGTGCCTCCAGGTGGTGTTGATCGCATCAGAGAAAGCAAAGATATCGCCGTTCAACTGAGGCATTTCGATCTTGTGCCGTGGGTTTTTCTTTTCCACCCAGATGAGCCGTCGCGGGTCTCCAAAAGTGGACCCCACTGTTAAATCAATCGGGTAGCCGCCCTGGTGGTACTGATCCGAGTGAAGATTACACCAGTCCGTGCCATCCCGGTACAGGTTCACTAGCGTCCGCACAGCCTTGACTCCAAAGATCTCCGTAACCCTTTCTACGATGGCCCGGTAGGTAGGGGCTTTTGCCAGAAGCTCTTCATCTCCAATACAGATCTGCCGAGAAAACTTCATGCCGGTATCCAGCCAGCAGTCTTTGAAATCCAGTTCGGACATGAGCCGATCGAACACAGATCTATCACCAGTCTCGCAGTGCACCGATGGCAGATAAAAGGCCTCATTCTCAAGGGCAGCCGGGTTTGCAAAAGGACCATTGTCAAGCATGGCGACGCAGTTCTCCACCTTTGGTGGGAGTGGCCGCAGGATCGCGGTCTCGACGTTGTCTAAGACTGTGCTACAAGCTCGTCTCGCCACATCTGTGGATCCGCACGTTGTGGAAGCCTGGCTTGTCAAAGGGGAGCTGTGACTTTCTCGCTGCGTGTCCATGCCTCTAGGGATGTCTGCAGTGTCCAAACGGTTGCGTGAGGCATGCCGGGATAGTGCATATCCAGCACCGGCCACGCCAACTGCCGACCTGAAGCAAGTATTGGTCCAGTGCCTCGACTGCCACTTAGCCCTGCTGGGCTCATTCTGCGCACCAAAAAGCCCTGCTTGGCTCCCACTTGGTGCAGGCAGTCTAGCTGGAACCCGGCGAGGTCGGACAAAGCGACTATGCAAGCGCGAGCAGTCCACACTGCCACACGCACTCATTGACAGCATGACAGCGTCCGAACTACGTGGAATGTCCTGAAAGCTGAAGCCGCCACGCAAGTAAGCCAGTCAGGCATGTGTACTCTACCAAGAAGCCACAGAAAAGACCCCCGAAGCGATGACAAGCTCGTACGAGGGCAACACAAGCTGTGACCAGCCCACCCCCAGACATGATATGATGCAGTATGCACGAGGTCTTGCATGTGTTGGCTCGAATGCATGCGCTTCTCATGAATGTCCGTGTGTCGGAAGAAGGCAACCATGTCTTTGCCTCTGCAAGCCAAACACGGTCCACCAAAAGGAAGGCAACTTCTGTTTTCGTTGTCCATGGTCTTCCAAGTGCAGGCTGCGCTATGCAAGTCGGATTCGGATTATGCACCGGCACCGGAGTTTGTACTCCGTTCTCAACTCTGGCCATCATGTCGCACTTGAGGGCGCAGACAAAAACCGTGGCATTTGCCACGAGGTTGGACACTAGTCGAGCCAAGCTTCGTGATCATCATTCAAGCCCGTATTTTGAGGACATTCAAGTGCCACGTACGGCGCTTCTGTCTTGTCTCGACCCGTGCACTTGGGTTCACGGTACGTGCTCACAGTGCGTGCTCAGTCTTTGAGCTTTCCAACGCTGTGCTGAGCCGCGAAGCTATATGTAACAAACCAAAACGCTGGAGGAGCCGCTTTGCGTGATCTCTTCCACTGGGAACGCTTCAAGCATTCTGCCTTCTTCGCAGGTCCTACTGCTTTGCTCTACCGCTTTTGATGATGTGGGGACTGTGGCCTGCGCAAGTTGGGAGAATGCCGCTGCAACATTCAACACTTTGTCCTCTCTGGCAGAGGCTGGCGTAGACTGACTTAAGATCCTCATGTCTGGTCAAAGTCGCCGCGATCAATGACCTCGTTCTGCGAATGTGCGTGCGCAGATATCTGGAAGCCGGTGGCTTTGCTGAGCACACAATGAGATCACTGAGCGCAACCAAGGCACGTAGGGAAGGTGAGTAAATTTCTTGCAGGCCAAAAACTGCTTGAGGTGGACTTGGAGCTCGCAAATGTGGCACACCTGTCAGGAAACCAAGGGTTGCCCAGGGCACCTCAAGAGACCTGTAAGAGCTGTACAGGCTGTACAGAATCAGAGCTGCAGAATCACAGGCCCTTCATATGGAAGCCCCATCATTCTGGCCCTGCCCTCAACAGTACCAAAACGGCATCGGTAAGAAGGCTCGCGACATGCAGCCTCTAGCTTGATTGCTGCTCTTCCTGTCGCCATCATATTGGCAAACAACTGCATCGCCCCGCGTCAAACACTAATGATATAACGTAATTCACAGACTCAATCTGCAAATCGAGAAGTTCATTAGCCAGCCCCGTTGTCACATAACAAAGGAATTCATAGAACAAATTCTTCACTTTTTCCATTCTCTCTGCATAATGCGAGTGATCCCCACTCGGCCTGCTGGCCTGCACTCTACAAGTGTACTGACTGCTCCCATGTGCTGCCCACACACACTCCCTTTTCCTGAGAACATCCTTGACTTTCCCGACCTTGGACCCATCTGTCGCTCCGTCTTCGGGCTTGTCGTGGGCAATGAGCAGGAAGAGCCTTCCATGGGGGTGCATGAAATGTGTTGTTCCGGTTTAGCAGCCGCACCAGGAGCAGCCAATCCCATGTGCTGAAGGTCTGGTGAAACTCATAGTCCTATTGAGTCATGCTCTAGATCTAGCTGTGGTTAGGGCATGTTCTGGTTCTGGGATTCTGAGGTGTTGAGAGTCTGGCTTGAGGTCGCAGTATCCACCGACAGCAGGTGAATGGAAGCCGTTCTTCACCTCGTGCGGACAGGCAGGTTACAATTGTTCAAAGGCAGGCGACGTAGTGTTAGGATGAATGCAACAAAGATGAGAGCCTCGCTGTGCCTGGTACTGAAAATGCCCTACCTCCTGAGGGGCCAACCCGAACAACAGTGGCGTGGTCATTCTCCACAGTCAGTGTCATGGCGAGATTGTAAATCTGCTCGAACTCCTGGCGGCGGCAGTCTGGCAACACCCCCGCAGCCTCTCTGACTAGACTAGACTGTTCGTGAATGTCCCCCTCTCCCGAACCGTAGACACCGGCTCTTTCTGCCACTGCCGACAGCGGCTCCGCCGCGGTTTTGTGCAGGAATGCTCGTTCGAGCACAGCACAAGAAAGAAATAACGTGCTCGTGTTGAGCAGGACCACGTCTCAAAGTCGTACCGTTGGCCGCAGCCGTTGACACAGAGCACTAACGTTCCAACATGGCCTGATGCAGCCAGATCCTGATGTTGCAGCCATGAGAGGAGTGCAGGCGGGCTTAGTACCGAACCCAGCACATTCTGCATCTCCTCATGCAGGCGCATTACGTTAACACAGCTCCACAGCTATGGACAGCGCGAAAGGCGACTCAATCCAGCTAGTCCCCTGCAAAGCCCCAGGGGCCATCAGCGGCAGAGAATTTCTTCTTGGAAGGCTTCAGACAGATCTACACTGGAAGGCATGGCAGCGATCAGCTCGGGCAAATCGCCCAAACCTTTTGCCGATGGCGGGCCCAACCTTGCAAGAGTTCCGCCGGCCAATATTGGTCTAGATTTCGAAGAAGGTGGTGTGAGTATGACAACGTCTAACTGAAGTAACAAGATTGCCTCGTCTATTCATTTACCCTGCACGTTCAGTCCAGAGCTCAAGCACCGATCAATGCCTTCACCGCAATTAATAATATATGGCCTGCAGCGCCTACTTAACCTACTTAACGTTTGCTCCAAGAGCCTGGAGGCTTGACCAGGCATACCTTGAGAACTGCGGATGTGCGAAATACCGCGCGGCTTTCCAAGGTCTGGTGAGTTCGTCTGTCCAAGCGGCAGTATGAAAACACGGCACATCGGCGCATCTACATCCATGTCCCGCATGCCCACAAGCACTTGCAGGTCACCCATGTAGATCTGGGGCGGTGCCTCTGCAACCTGAGTCTCAGAAAGTATTTGGAGTCTTTCTCAGTTGGCGACGCCGAAGGGCTCAGCACAGTTGTTGTTGCGTGCGGGGTGTTGACTTGCTTTTCATTGGCATTTCTTAGAGTTATAGATCTGGCAGGCTGAACACGGCATGGGGGACAGTTGTCATTGCCAAGATGCCAGATGGTATTCTGCCGGCTTGCCACGCAAGGCGCTGACCAGCAAGAACTCGCTTCCATCAGCCACAGGCAACACAGCCTTCAAGCGAAGACAGAAGCCTTGGCATCAAGACTTTAGCGTTTAGCGGTACAAGATGGTCTCCCATGCCTCCCCACTTGCGAAATCCCATTCTCAAAACGTTGCCGCAGGCCGAGTAGCCCTGGTTCATCAAGTTCTCAATCCAGCCCTTGCAGGGCAAATGCGGCATGACACTCTCTGAGCTATAAGGGCGCCAACTGTGCTTGGTAAGCTATTTTCTGCCTTGTGAAGTTATCCTATTTTGCTGGCTCTGCGCCGCACGAATGTATGCATGTTGATGTATCTGATCGCCGAGACATCACGATGGACTTGGACACTTGTGCAGATTCACCAAGTCTAAAACCAGCTCCTGCTGCTACTGTACCAAGTGGACAGGCCTTGACAACTTCCACATTCGCAACGGTGCCGTTTTCCACGATCTGAACAGATCGGAATGTGGTGTCGTGAGCGGCCATGAAGTTTGGGACCAGGTTCGACGGCTTGCCTCAGGTGTATAGGAACAGAACCTGCGCTTCCGGTATCCGTCTTGCAGTGGTCGAGTTCAGCTGTGTCCAACTTAATCGCGGGCGGCGCATGCTTGCATTCTTCCAGAGGCATGCCCGCTGCCAATGTCATTCTGAGTCCGAGCTGCACGCGTACACTCTGCCAGCGGGGCGGCAAGTCAACAAGGCCAGATCATCTTCGACCAAAGTGCTTTTCCACAAGTGCATGGGTGCTACGACGTCCTTGCAAGGCAGCTTTTTAGAAAGGGTACGTGTTGTGCTAGTCATGGTGCTCGTCTGCTCGTCTAGATCCTGACGCGAGAATCATCCCAACATGTTCAGCAACAAAAAGCGCGAACCTTGTGTTGCTCCGCACTGTGCGGACAGATGCAATAGTACCAGCTGGGTCCGCGCTTCCTGCATCCCCTGCAACTTGCAGCCTATGAGCCATTGAACCCTGAAGTCACTTCTCAACCCAAGAGCGCCTTGTTCACCCATTCGCCTAGCAGGCCTACCAACTTCCTGAGGCAGGCCAAGATAGCCGCCACACAAGTCAAAGAGACTTTGCTTCTGCCCCGTGCACCAGAGCGTGTCCTTCATCTTCAGTGACGCAAGGAGCTCACTGGCATCTTGATCCTGCCAAAGCAGGCACAGTAAGTCATGGAGCGCAAGCATACCAACCCTGCATCACACCCAGCCTGGGAGCGAACAACCAGGACATCGGCAGCACATAGCTGGTCGAGGGAAGCGCCTGACAGTAGCCGATCTTCAAAGCATGGCCTGGGCCAAATCGGAGAGATTGCAACAGCAAAATGGGTTCTGCCATCATGGGGTCGTCTTTGTCTGCTCCGCAAGTTGAAACAAATTGAAACCTGGCAGGTACTTACTTTTCTTTGTTTGCGTCGGGGCTTGAGGGTAAGGGCCGAGACCTGTATATGTATATATATATATATATGGTATCGTTTGCACCCTATGTGTACCGCCTGCCCTCCGCAGGCAGCGTGCTGCGGCCTAATGATAATGGTCTAAGTCCTAAGTGGGGCAACTCCTCAGACTCTTCACTCTCAGCAGGCGCTCTTCTTGTCTCTCATCCGCTTTCTTTTCTTTCGGGCATGGAGAAACCCCTGTGCCTGAAGCTTCCGTGATCGCAAACTTAGGCGAGCGCGTGGTTGCATCAACCACTGTCACCACTCCAGCAACCGTGTAGGAACGGCTACGTTGGACTGCATCAGCAAAGATCATGGGATCAGCAGCGGGGCCAGTCCGAATCAACACGTGATCGTACTGCTCACCTTAGTCTGGGCAGAGCAAGTACTGCCGCAAAGTTCAAGTGTACACACATGTACACAAGATGATGATGCTATTATACTTGTGGTCGAGATTCCCCACATGATCATGCTGTTCAAGCGCTGGTTGAGCTCGCCTCCTGGGGTACAACACAGACAGCCGCTGCCATAGTCATAGACCTCCTCCAATAAGTCGCAACGGGAGGAGTCGATGACCAAAGGCTGGCAACAGTACCTGACTAGCACATACATTGAACTCTCACCATCGCCAGCAAGGACCCATTAGCTGCCACGGGGCTCTTCAGCAAAGCGGTGGGTAATCACAGCCACTTTCTTTGCCTTTGCAACGGTTTGACTATGACGTGCTTGGGTTGGAATTGGGAATCTCTCTAGCCTTGGGCGCAAGGAGCTCCAGCAGCTCGTTGCAGAGAGTGGTCTTCCCTGCTCCGAAAGAGCCCGCGATGAGCGTCACAGGAATCGGCGTCTCAAGCGTCTCAAGAGGAGCCATGTGGGCCCAAGGAAAGACAACTCGTTTCCAGAATGCAATGCTTCGAGTTCAGTAGCACTCAGTTGGCCAGGGGGCTTTGTTATAAAGAACGAACATGAACATGGTATGTGTGTGCTGTGCATCTTGCCTGACTCCAAACCTTGATCCAACATGCGCGGCGCAGAGACGAAACATTCCCCACACGCGACCATGCCCGCAAGAGCACAGACTCAAGGCTCAGGTGATCAACCTGGAACCCAAAGGGGCCCAGGGACGAAGAAATCTGTGAAGCTCCACGAAGCTCCTCTTCCGTGCTGCAGGTCAGGCTTCCACGGACCAGGTCCAGCAAGCCACCAGTGCACAGCAAGTCCGAAGAGTCACCGGTCCTTTCATGAACTGCTCTCTCAGGAATTCACCTTCTCTTTTTGACCACAAACTTATATACTATGGAAGGCTTTCTCCTGAACGCTGCGACTGGCTGAAACTTCAAATGCCAGCGTGTCCTACACTTGCGGATGTCGAAGAGAACCTGCGCCCTCTCCGAGAAGGGGTTGAGGAAAGTCTCCTCGCGTCATACCAGGGAAGGGAATTGGGATCATGAGAACTGTCTTGGTGTGGCCAGGTTCAGTCTCCGCATGCAGACGTCAACTTATTTTCCATTCTTAACAGCGAGAAAACGCTTGAGAGCACAAGCTCAGGCTGGGCGACTGCTTGCCTGTAATTTCCCCACACCCCAGGACCCCGGGACCTCTTCGTCCCAGGCGCCATCCTCTTCCGAATCTGGCAACTTTGCTCTCCTGCTTCCATGGTTTCCGGCCAGAAACGCACTCGTTCAAAACAGGCTTCTGCTGTGCCATCGGCAGCGCCATGCATCAGAACCACATCGGCAGCAATTCTCTCCTTATCTGCCGGAGCCCTCGAAGGAGCAGCCTGCATTCAAGGGAAAGACATTCTTGCAGGTGCTGAGTGGTCATCGAAACGTGACTGGCAGGTTTGGTTTACATACAAGCCGCGGTACGAAGGCACGCGGTGCAAGCTGTCAAAACATCAACTGCTAAATGCCAAGGGCCGTGAGGCCAAGCGACGTAACATCGGACATGGTGTACGTAGCAGTCCGCGTGCACTGGAAGTCGATAGACTGCGGGCCCAAATCTAAGCCCTTGGCTTGCGTGCGTCTCCTGAACCGTCGACGGAACGGTCAATGACGATGACAGCATCCGCGCCTGACTCTCAGGCCGCAGCACCAAGAGAACGCTGGTAGAGCGCATAACTAGACCACTAACATGATTCAAACATACAGGGGTGCACTGTCAATTCGCAAGACGGCAACTTGAAAGCGCGCCTGCAGTTTTCATCAGCTCCTCCGCGCTCGCTTGGGGATCCTCCCATGCCCAAGGCTTGTCACCTGGCCAAGCATCTTGAACTCCCAGCTTCCGGGCAATTGGTAAACAAACCTGTGTTGAGAATGCGCCACTGCATACGACGAATCTACGTCTCAGTCTGCCAGAGCAAGTGCACATCTTCTCCAGTAGTTTTTCAGAACGTGTCCCTGTCCCAGTGTGGCTCCCTGCAGCAGGAGACGTGGTTTTGTCAAACGGGGAGCTGGAATCAGGTCAATCCTTCATACTTTCCGCAAAAGCCCTAAGCCCTCCGAAACTCAACTTTGGAATGCCTTCGTCGTGCTCCGTGGTCACAGCAGGTGCACCTTCTGGCCTCGGCTCAGAGAGATCATGAAACTACACAGGGCCAGCAGCTGCCCAGCTGCAGCAGCATGAAAAACGGGAAGTCTACCTTCTGACTGCATCATCTGGGACCGAAGCTCCGGCAGCAGCACGGCCAACACACCCTCCCGCCCCGGTGTTGAAGCGGAGCCACTGGAGATTGCAGCCACTGCCTGCGAGATATCTTTGGTGGGACATGCTGGGTCCAGGTTTTGGTGGCGCTGCACCCCTTCGAAGCCACATCTGCCCATGTGGCCTCCCTTAGGTCGAAGCCTGCTTATTCAAAGCCCCTCCCCAAGCATGAACCACAACATCTCGCAAGATGGGCATGTGCCGCGCAGATGAATCTAGACATGTCCCATACCATCACATACTCATTCGCTGCAAATCCATGCAACGCCTGTGTAATCAGCGTCGAGGCAAGCTCATGCCAAAAAAGTGCCACTTCAAACCCCCATGACGCCGCAAGTACATTTCGTTTCGCTTTGGTCTCATGGTGCACTTCTCGCCGCCTACCTGCACGGCCTGATCAGTTTGCACACAACTTCTGGAGTCGCCTCCATGGCCTTTTGCAAAGAACGCCCCAATCGTCCAAGCACCAAGTCAACACCTGGACAGGGCGAATGTAGTAACATACCGATTGCATCTCTGGAATTTCCATGTCAGCGTCCGGGCGAACCTGCGTCTGGAGGTTCCGGGTCACTCACATCCTGATGGGCAGGGCCGAACAAGAAAAGTCCACAGCATGCCACGCCGTCATGCTGGCCAGTCCTCAAAGGCATCTTCACCGGGCAAGTCAGCCCGGTATGCTCTCCTGCATTTGCTCAGCAAGTGCAGGAGCTCTCAAGGGAGTTGCAAAGGGCCCCGTTGCATGACAGGTTGAACCCCTCCGAAAGATGTCGGCTTTTTCATGGAGATGCACACGAGCGGTGAGAAAAATCATCTAAGTCTAAGCCATCTAACCAAGCTGTGCCCCACGAATTTTATCCAAAGCAAGGCGTGCCTGCCGAACCTCTTCTTCGAGCTCTTGCAGGGTTTTGCCGTTTGCATACACCCCTTCCAGTCTCTTGACTGTGGGGGTTTCGGGATCGACAGGTGTGAGGTCAAAGACCCAACCTCTCCCATCTTTTAGATGGAGGAAAATGGGCTCATCCTCAGTCTGGACGACATCATCAACCTCGAAAACGGATCCTCGCACTAGATCTTCCACACGCTCACCTTTGAGATCTGGCTCTTTTCGGATGCCAATACCGTCCTCTCCCTCCGTGACCACTTGGTACCAAAGGCCCGAAGAGGCCCCCTCTGCCTGAAGGGACTGAGCCTCCTCCAGGGCCATACGCGCTTCCGCCAAGCGCTGTGCCGCGGCTTGCCGCTTCTTTCCGGAAAAATCGGGCAACTCTGGCGTCAGCTCTCCTAGGAACTCTAGTCCACCTCTCGCGTCACCGAACAGCTCTGTGAATGTGCTGGCCACCACCAAGAAAGCACCGATAGGCCATGTCTGGCGTCGTACACTCAGCTTGGCGGGTGCCCGACGAGGCATGCCCAAGCGGGATGAAACTTTGTATCCGCTGGTCTTTCTTAAACCATTGGAAGCTGCAGGGGCAAAGGCATTGTTTCCTACACGGACAGAGCACATACCGGGTTTCAGCACTCGTCAGCGACACTGCAAGACAGAGACCGTGAGCAGTTAGGGCCACATGTCAATCTGCTGAGTTTCGCATCGGCGCCTGAACTTGCCCTTCATAAGATCGAGTGCCTGCATGCAGTGGGCGTAGCAGAAACAAGTGAGCCATCACGAAGCCCCGGCTCAGCAGTGATGAAATCACATCTCCGGCCTCGTGGAGAAGTGTCAACCCGGGCGATGCGTAGTCAAACCTTGTCTCGACTCAAGAGCCCCACCGAGAGTATCGCCGCAGGGTTAGTCAAACACACAAGGGCAACACAACCTTCCTTGCCCTGACACTGTATCTTATATATATATATATATATATGTGTGTGTGTGTATTTATTCATTTTTGTGTTTTTGCTTCTTTGCTTATTTATCTATACTCTATATATATATACATTTATTTTTGTATTTTATATTTATATTATATTTAGTTTTAAATTAAAACGAATGCTATGGAACGCCCCGGACTCGTTCGCAGTCGTCAGCCGAGCCGCTGCTTCTTCACGACCCGGGATGGCTGCTTGTTGGGCGCATCCCTGTACTCCACCTGCACTCTGTGACTCTGTGCAGCGCAACGGAATGTGGTGATGTTTCATCGACTCCTGGGGCCCTTAAGGGACCTCTGGATGGCGCAAGTGCACTGACCAAATAACATCTCCGAAGCCACACAGCTCACCTTCCAGCAACAAACTGTCCTGATATCATTTTCCTGTTTTCCTCCGCAGCCAATGCCGAATCGTTCTGCTGTAGCTACAAGTAGTAGGGTTAGTAGGGGGTTGCACCCTTCCAACGGGCCTGGCCACCAACACGTCGCGCGAGGTCCGCTGCAATGGCGTGGAAGATTCGGGCGGCACGTTGCGCCTGTTCAAGAGAACCGGTGAATGCCGCACGCTTCTTCCGGCAGGCATCGTCTGCACCCAGTCCACGCATCAGGCGAACAAGCCAACGCAGCAGATAAAGGGCGAGAAAGGGAGAGGAGATGAGGAACAAGGAACGGGTTGATTCCTCTTGAGGCTGATTCAGGGCAGCGGGCCTCTCCAGTCAGGAACTTGGTGTAGGCACCTTGGCTTCCCATACCTTCCCTACATGCGAATTGACCCTCCTCGACCATCCTTCGACTCTTGCACCAATTTCTATCAATTTCTCAGCCGGGGTGCTGCCCCAAAAATAGAGCGGTAGCCTCTTGTCCCAGGCTCCCCACCTTCAGAAGTTCATGCTTCTTCATGCTCTCGCCCATGTTCTACTTGAGCTTTGCAGGGCTCGGAGCACAGCGACATCCCTTTTGAGGATGCGGCTGAACGGAGGCTTGGAGCCCATCGCTCGCGCAGATCCTGAGCACAGTTCCCGAATGACTTACGGATACTGACGGCCTTGAGGCAGAGCGCCATTATGGTCTTCACCTGTTTGCACGTCTCACTCTCCAGGGCCGAGGCTGAGCATTGAGCTCCCCAACCCAGCTGCAGAAGTCCTGCTGTAGGACTCTGGGATATAAAAAAAGAAGTGCTTGGCTGTTGTTATGCCTCGGCTTGCCGCCTTCAGCACCTACAAGAATGCACTGTTGCGATATTGGCCGGCTGCACGCTACGTTACGCCACACTTGCAGGGCGCACACTTGCTTTGTTCGCGATTCTTCGTTTCACGCTGCTTCGCGGTGCGGGCGACTCGTGAGAGCCCAAGACTCCCCGCCATCATGGCTGCCGCAGCTGCCGAGGGTTGCGGCCAGAGCTCTTTTGGATAAGGACAGGAAACTGGCACATGAAGGGTTTATGGTTCATATACCGTAGTGGGAATTATAGTAGTAAGTGAAAAATTGGCTTTGTGAGTTTTGAGGGAGTCCTGCATCTGCTTCGCAAGAAGCGCACGATGCCCAAAGCGAAGATGGCTCTTCGCCGAACATGCTTCGCCGGCTGCCCCAGCACCCAACAGTGAGAGCTCGTTAAGGACTGATCTCCAAAAATCCCGGGAAAGGCCAGGGCAGCTGGCGACAAAGCATGAACAACGTTCAGGCAACGCGTTGGACTGAATTCGGCAATCGATGCAGAGACCGATGGCGTGTTATTTACAGTGGCAATGCAGACAGCGATCAATCAGCTGAAAACTTCGGAAAACTCAGAAACCACACTTCAAAGAAGTGCAGCCACACAACGTGTATTATGAAAATTTACTTTTGAGCTTGGGGGATGCTGACATCAAAAGGAGGCCAGTGCAGGCACCCTCACTTGATTTGAGCAGCGGTCTGGGCGACAAGCCTCAGCCGCAAAATAACTTGCCATTACTGTCAGAGTCTGAGGCCGGCAAAAATGCAGGTACCAGCACCACTGGCAAAAGCCTGTTTTGTCAAAGTTGCTGGAAGAAGGACTCCTGCCTGCACTCTTCCTCAAACTTCGCGACCTGCAGGCATCTATTCGCATGAAAACAAGTCTGCCCCGCAACCGACGTGAAAGGTGTCAAAAATCATCCTGCAACATTTAGTTTCAGTCGAACGGCTCTCTGGCGAACCCCTTATCATGTTCAAGTTTGGATTCTAGGCATACCAAGTGCTTCTGGAGGCTTCTAGGGTTGTGCCGAAGAGGATCTGATGCCTGGAATCTGCAAGGCACAACGGGAAAGTATGCTGTAGCCTCCGTTGCGTTCACTAGCTCAAGTTCGCTCAAACTTTCATGGAAAAGGTGAACACTGCCGTGCCCAGCCTCGCCCTTCTCCACGGCTTCCTCGCGCTTCTGCCAAGCCGTGCTTGCGTCCCTTTCATGGCGGTCCATTACCTCGTGGCCCCAGACGCGAAGTTGCGATATTTGCGATAGCCCAGAACCCAAACCCTGTGCCTCCAGTGTCTTTTGCTAAATTTTAAAGCTGCTTCACGTTGCGATCGCTTGCATTGCCATCCATATGAGCCGGAGGCCAAGGAACAAAAGGGCATCTTTTTTGGTACTGGGTATCGCTTCGCCAGAGAAACACATCAACATGGGAGGAATCGTTGTTGGTATTATGAGGTTGTGCCTCGCCAGGCAACTGCACTATGACCCTGTAGTAGCCCAGCAAGAGGGCTTTCACAATATCATTGCTAAGTAAGCAAGCACTACATGCATGTAAACTTGCCATACAAACATTGAGGTCTGGCAGTAATTCTGAGCCTCAAAGCCGTATCACAGAAGCGTTTGCTCGAGTTCGTGGCAAGGGGCTTCTTTGACGAGCTTCGTGACCTCGTCTTTGGTCCACTTGAAGGGGTGGAAGGAGTAGAGGAACGTGAATTGGCCCGTGAAAGCTGCCGGCAGAATGTACCTGAGATAGTTCACAACGACGCTCTCGTAGGTGAAGTCGCCCCTGCCTTTGCCATAGGGAGCTGACAAGCCCTCGGATGCCTTCCAAGGGAAGGTAAAGGTGCCCAACAAAATGTCAGAAGCAATCCGAGACAAACCCTGAACAGCACTGGCCCGGACGATGCGACTCCGGTAGTAGTCCTGCAAGGCATCTGGCACCTGGCTGCGATCGGTGAGGCCCTTCAGCTTCTCACAGATGCAGTGAGCATCCTCCATAGCCTGACCACCACCCTGGCCAAGGTTCGGCATCATGGCGTGGCAGGCATCGCCCAGCAAAGCCACGGGGCCGTCAGCCCAGGACTTCAACACGCTTGGGGGGCGATCATAGAGGGATCGATCCTCCAAGCTGTTTACAGGGGTTGCATCGAGGAGGTCGGCGATCTGTGGAGACCAGCCCTGGAAAGCTGCCTTGACGTACTCTTTCTTTTCCAGACCGTCTGAGGGCACCTCCTCGCCTTCCCCAACTGCCACGAAAGCGTACCACTGGATGCGACCACGACCCACGTCCGAGGTCACGAAGTACCGCTTGGGGCCCATGTACACTTTGTAGCCAACGTCAAAGTAGTCATCTGGCTTGTAAATGGTCTCACCAGCGAAGACAATGTATCCGCTGTAAGTGCATCCAGACCCGGGGCCCTTTTGGCTTTCGTTCCACATCTGGGCACGCGTTGCGGACCAAATGCCATCAGCGCCGATCAGGACGTCAGCCTTGTGCACAGTGCCATCCTCCGTTTTCACATTCACGCCACCGTAGTTGGGGAGCTTCTCATAGCCAACCACCTTCGTTGCATTGACGAGAACACCCTCAGGCAGAGCTTGAAGCATGATCTCCTGAAGGTCCGGTCGGTCCACCACACCAGTGTAGGGCAGGTCGAACATCTCAGCGGAATCCTTCATTGCATCAAAGGTGCAATACCACTCGCTGCGCAAAGCATCCACCAGACCATTCTTCCGGTATCCAGTGAAGGTGAACCTCTTCATCAGCTCGCCAAACATGTCCTCATCGACGTCACGGATGACGGACAAGGCATTAGAGGCGAGCTGGATGGGGCCACCGAATCGCTGGAAAGCGCTTGCTTGCTCCAGGACTGTCACCTTGATGGTTGGCTCCTTGCTGAGTGCTTTTCCCAAGAGCAGACCACCAACACCTCCACCAGCAACGATAACACGGAGCGGGTTGGCTCCAGAGATCTCGGAAGGTTTGGCCTGTGCCTGGAGCCGGATCTTGCGCAGCCGTTGGTGGATGCCTCCTGCAACACCCAATGCTGCCCCGACTGCCAGGGCTCCGTGTGTTGAGAGTGCACTGCCACCCTGGGCAGAGGACCTCATCCCAGTTTGCACCGCCTTCAAGCCTAACTGGGTAGGCTGAGGGCTCAGGGAGCTTCGAAGGCTTGGCGTTGCAGGTGACACAAAGCCCATGGTGGAGGACGCGGAGGACATCATCGCCAAGACGGCTCCTGCGGCACTTGCAGTGCCCACAGCCCAGGGATCAAGGGTAGCCTTGGCCTTCTTGGGGCGGGCTGCACGACCCATGACCTTTCTGACAGGGTCACTCTCCGTGCCGAGGCAAGGCTCTGGGTCCGGAGCGAAGAAACTGGCAATGACGGCATACAAAGCCATGAAGACACCAGGGATGATAATGGGAGCAACAACCGACCAGGCACTGGACAGTCCGTTCTTGGCCATTTCAAGCATGGCATTCTCCTCTATGAGCTCCTCCTTCTCAATGGCATCCACGGCTTCCACGACCTCCTGCTCCACTTTCTCCTCCTCTTGGACAGCATCCTTCTCTGCCTTCTCAGCGAGTTCCGTTGCCTGGTCGATGGCCGCCTCGGAGCGTTCGGCTGCTGCCTTCTCAAGAAGCTCGGAGCGCTCCACAACCTCCACACGAGCCTTCTCTGCCTTCTCCAAAGCCATCTTCAGGGCCTCCTCCGACTTCTGCTCGGCCGCCAAGATCGCAGCCTCGGCCTTCTCCGTCGCAGCATTGAAGGCCGTCTCGCTCTGCTCCTCTGCGGCAAGGCGGGCGCTGTCCGACTTGGACTTGGACAGGGCTTGCTTCTCAAGGTCACGGGCGGCTTTCTTCTCCGCCTTCTCCACACGCCGAGCTTCATCCACGACTTGCTTCTCCTCCCGCTCGATCTTCTGCTTCTCGGCCTCGTACTCCTTGTCAATCTTGGCCTTGGCCTCCTTCTCCTGCTTTTCGATGAGGACCTAAGCCCAGGCTGTCGATCTCAAAGCCTTCTGAGCCACGGCTACGACCCCCCAACACATTGGATTCAATTGCACCCTGGCCTTCTCACGCTTCTCCACGTCCAGGGCCTGTTGCTTTGCCTTCTTCTCCTCCTCCACGATCCTTTTCTCCTGACCGCTTTTCAAAACTGGAAAAGAGGACACAAGGGGACAAACGGTAACAACACCGTTGCGCTAGGCAAGCTCCGTTCCTTCAACTGCTCGGTGGTCCGAGCCGTCTGAAGCTCCTCTTTCTCCAACTTTTCCACCTCGACACAAAGCTGTCAGGAGGCATATGCTGCGGCTCTGCTCACACTTCCCGGGCACCCATACACTCATTTTCTCATAGACCACTGAAATTTGCACGTTGAAGCTGGTGTATGAATGGCTTACAGCTTACAGCCCCTCCACGCCACTCCGCAATGCTGGGTTTTCGCGCCTCGTTCAGTTTCAATTTCGGGCGCTTCTTCTCTGCCTGGACGCTATTTAATGGAGCTGCATGAGCACGGGCAATGGCTAGCACCCTCAGCATACACCACCCGTGTGGTTCGGAAGTGAGTCCTGAAGACGAACGATACCAGCGTCGCGCATCGCGATCTCCTTCTCCAGGCTGGCTTCCTGAATACAATGAACTGGGGATGCAACCGGGCAAACCCCAAATCCCCTAAACCGCCTAAACATCACCAGGCCCTAATCGCTGCTGGCTGCCTCGGCAAGAGCAGGTCCCGCAGAGGAGGCCAGCAGCGTGGCCACCATGCCGGCAGCTGCCGCGCGCTGTGCCTGGGGAAGACCTGACAGTAATGCTACGAGTTTAGTAGAGAGCAGGTATGATCTGGATGCTTGGGCTATCTGTTGGGCCAGTTGGGTGAACGCAGATTGCTTTTGAATCTTGCTTAGGCGTCCCAGTGCGGTTGCAATCGAGGTGCTGAAAGAGGTGGAGTCGCTTGTCGACCCGAACCTTCACGGCATCATGCGGGTCATTAAAAAAAACCACAAGTGGACTTTGGAGAAGTTTAGTACATGCTGCAGGCAGAAACTGCTGGTTGCTGACAGTTGGTGCCTCAACACCGCACGCAAAGCCAGGATTGCCACGCCAGCTGCGACGAAGTGGCCCAGGCGAAACCTGTTTGCATTTTTTTCCCTTCCCCTGAGGCTTATTTCGGTGTGCGGTATACCTACAAGACTTACAATTTCATTTTGGGGATTTCGCTGATTAAGGGGCTATTGGGGAGCAATGGGAGCAATGGGAGTGCAGACGCTCTGAGAACACTCTTTCGGGCTGCTGCGCAAGGCGAATGGATGCCTGGAAGAATGCGCGACCATCTTGCTTCCAGCTGATGTGAGGGCCACTTGTAGCTATAAGCCGAAAATCTGGATGCCTTCCGGCTGCACGGCACAGCAACATGCATCTTGGATCAACTGTCGACGCACGGGACTCTAGAACAAGTATTTCTATGGGGTCCGGAATCGTGCACATGCGCAAGGTGCCGGGTAGCGTGCAGTAGCCGTCCTCCATGCTTACCACTGCCCCGCAATGCACCAAAGCCTGCAAGAATTTTTGGCAGCTGCTGCTATAAGCCGCCATACGCTTAACAGATCAAGACAATTACCTGTCTGGTGCAAGATGCATCCTTCCAAGCCTACGGCCTTGATTGGTAAAGTGCAAGACCGACAGGCTGAAGCGGACCTCGAAGGTTCCGACCACGTTCTGCTGGGTCAACCATGGCAGGTCATCGTGTGCGTGCCTGAGCGCTCCAACAGGGCAAAACTAGCTAGGCCTAGCAGTTGGTGCAGCCGCGATGAATCACTTCATTAACCAGGCCAAGTCCGTCGCCACTGATGAAGGGAGCGCCCGGCAAACTTGGGCCGGCTGCCCAGAAAAAGCTCAGCCTTCCAGGGCTTACTCCAAGCAAGAAGCAGCAAACACCCCTTGTAGACCTTCGATCATGGCCCTCAGTGGCCCTCTGCTCGTCACAGGAATATTGGATCACGAATGTTCCACGTTGCTCCATGGGCAAGACAGCCGAACTGGATCAAAATCCACACAGAAGAACGCTGCATCAGGACGGAACCCCCAGTCATACTGCTCTCGGTAGTGCCTCCTGCGTGAGCTTGGGCAGCTTCTTCAAGGCAAGCCTTCGCGATTGGAGCTCCTGTAGACCAGACGTGCGCACGACAAGGCTCATCACTGGTTCACTCCCACCAAATCTGGCAAGCGAAGGATGCACTAGAAGTCACGCTGTTTTTGAGTGCCTGCCTGTGCATAATGGGCTAGAAGCTCTGCGGCCAGCACCTTCGCCTCGCCAGGACAAGCATTTCTCCATAAACATGCTGGCCTGTCATGGCCTTTTGAGTTGCAGTATGTCAGCGAAGCGCTGAAATTCGTGGGTGGTTCGATGTCCGGGCTTGGAAGCATTGGATGAGAACACTCTGACTGGGAAGGGATGACTTCTGGGTCGGGACTGCAAAGCTGCAACATCAGAGGTTCCGACAGTGTTGGGGGGGGGGGGGGTTCCTGGAAAAGGGACGAGTAGAGCCTTGGGCTGGGGCTGACCCAGGGGAGTGGTCGCCGGAGAATTTTACCTTGCTGACCGGACCTTTTGGAACTACCACACACCATGCGCGATGCCGAATCAACCTGCCGCGGTTTTCTGTTGATGTCTCGGACAAGAGCGGTTAAAGACTAATATTGACCATCAAACAAGAAGTGCACCACATCCACATGCCACGCCTCTGGCAAACACCACCTCATGATCCCGCTGTGGAGCAAGTAGCGGGCAAAGTAGTTGCACCTGACAGGTCACGGAGGCTCGAACACAGTCTTGGCGTACGTTGCCGCAACTCCCGAGCGGTGAGTTTATCATGTTAGCTGCCTTTCCTTCTGAGGCTCTGGCTCTTTATTGGGTGGCTGCCTCGGCAAGCAGGTGATGAATGCAATCAGTGTCTCTGCAGCATATCCCTGTTGCACAAACAATTTCAAGCTGAGACCGGGACTGCAATGAGGCAGCACGCACCTGGCAAAGCGGTAGCAAAGCGCTTCACCCAGGTGCAGTATGGTGCAGGTAACCTGTGAAGTGGGGACAAGTTTGTGCATTCCTGGCCTGCGGGAGCAGAAGCTTGTGTGCACCTGACTAATTACCATTATTCTAATGTGGGAGGGGTCTATCATGTATTCTACACTGCTCAGATGCATGTTTCCTCGGCTTCACGTCATAGGAAGGCGTTCTGCAATCTTCAAGAATATGTACTGTGAAGTCGGCTTAATGCTGAGTGCCACACAGAATCTACCACGACGCTCTGCCTTTCATGCGTGCAAATTTCACCAGGCAAGCCATCAAACCTGCACACAAGACGACATACAGGCCTCCTCGCAGCCACCATCATCGACATCGCGAATCTCGCAGATTTGCCTTACCAAAACCAACGAAAAATCCAGGTCGGTTTTGGTCATACAACTCGACGTACAGGTCATAACATGAAGCCGCCGAAATCTACGACCACGTGACCACGAATCTCGAGGTGGAACAAAACTGTTGCGTGCACCACGCATACAGCAAGCGTTTTCTGCTGCCATATATACGGATATACTGATGGGAGGGAGAATTACTTCAAGAGACGGCTCCTAAGGTGATTCACTGCAACCGTACCTTGCAGGTCAGTCATTGAGAGAGCAACGGCTGGCATCAATTCTGGGACGGGCGTATGATGGCGTATGGTACGGCAGTGTCCGGAGCGTTTCAAAGGTCACTCCTCTGCGACATCTTGTGCAGGGCCGCAGAAACCAACACATGCAACTCTGCTGACCCCAGATCCTTAATTGTCACCACAACAGGGGTCTTTAACAGAATGAAGAGATCCGATTCATGGCCACCTTGGACTTGTAGCAAGAGAAAAGTAAAGGCCCTGAGAACAATCGCTCTAAGCGTCGGAATCGCACGCACGGAATAATGGATCCCCGATGGGGGAAGAAAGAGCTGGGCTCATTGCTATACTTGCTATCATTTCGATGATACAACGCGTGTGGCTCTGCGTACTTAGTGGAGCGGACTGCGACAAAGGGAAGCCGAGCTCCAGACGTTGTCTGGACAGGGGGCTCTTTAGCACGGCAAGGTGAACTAGCGAGGCACGAAGGTCTAAGAAAGTCTCAGCAGGGTTTAGGGCTTCCGCCACACACTTCCATGCGTGACTTCATACATCTTTGGAAAAAGAAATTGGCAAGGATTTCTTCAGCACTGCTCAAGGGGCAGCCGAAAAGCGAGCGAGTCAGAACAAACAACTGCGTCTTTTGTGGGTTTGTCTTGTGATCACCTGTGTTCAGTACAGTGCTGACAAGCAGGCGTGATTCTGGATTTACGGTTCGGGCTCACACTATGGCTACATAAAGGCCTGAATGCCACCCAATGGACCCCGTCATGCCTAGTGGACTGTTTGACTAAGAAACCTGTGCTGCGTGCGTTGCCCTTCAACTTCATGAACACGTTACTTCGCTTTGTTCATGACCTATGGATTGCTTATACACCTGGCAAGTTCGGATCTGTTTCGCACCATGGTCGATAGCTACAGGAACTAAAACACCGAAAAACCCGGCTTCTCGCCATCTGATGTGTTCTGCTGCTCGTCTTCTTACGCGTCTATCAGGCGGTGTTTGACCACGACATCTGCTCTAAGTTGGTAGTGGTCCAACCTTCTGCTGCAGCGTTTTGGGAATCCCAGTGATCATGGCAATCTCTGTAAGGATGCCATGGCTTTTGCTCAAGAAAAAGGGTGGGTCTGTGCCTCGCCTCTGTAACTACAAGATGCTAGACAGGAGAATGAGCAAACATACCTTCGGGCGCGGGGCTCATAGAGTCGCAACTTGTCGTACTTGGAGATTCGCTTGACCTCCTTGTCTGCAACGAACATTGTGCCGGGCCTCGGTGTCAATATCAGCCTCGAGTCGCTCGACGATGTCAATTGCTAAGCGCATGATTCGGTAGCCTTAAGCTCCCGGCCCGCCCGGAAAAGCCAAGTCCTGGTGTGTCTCAGTATGCTCCGCGCATAATCATATTGGGGCGCACACACACACACACACACCTGTTGCATTTTGTACACACAGTACACTGGTACACATAGTGTACACGACCAGCCCGCTCCAGGAAGGCTCTTGCAGCAGCCGGGGGGTCGTCGGCCAGGTTGGCTACCGCAGCCTGCTTCGCGCACATGGGTCCAGTACAGGTCAAGCAAAGGTCAAATGATCTATGCCTCAAAGCTCTCCCAAGGTAGTCGGCTTTGCCGCAATAGCTCCCTGTCAACCGTTCGGCATCGCACAACACACTTGCGCACATGAAGTGTCTGTTGAATGGCAGCTTGCGTACTGCTGGCAGGGCCTGCATTTATTGATGCCCTGAATCTTTGCTGTTGTCATGCCTTCCAGCGAATGGGCGGAAGAGCAGAACGCAGCATGTTGATGTAAAGCTGCAAAGCTCAGCGCCCATTCAGCCGCCAGCTCCCAGAGTCCTACAGAGACCTGTGGCCAAACCCCGTGGCCTCGAAAGGTGCGAGCACGTAGAAGCGCCGTCTCGCCCTGACCGAATGTGAGTGCAACAAAATTCAGCAAAAGGTAAGTCGAAAGATGTCGAAAGTCTGGCACGCCAGAAGATGAGGCGAATGGCCTGCAGGCTAACGACGGTTGCATCAGCACCATGCTGTAGCAGCACCTCCACCTTGAAACCAGGTGGCAGGATGCTGACACGTATGGCCAGTACTGATATGACTGCAAACGAGTTTTGCTGTCTGCAGGGTTCTTCGCGATGCTTGCGTACACGTGATAAAAATAAATTAAATGCGTGTGGACAGTGAGGGAAAGAGAGAGGGAGAGAAAGAGAGAGAGAGAGAGAGAGAGACAAAAAGAGACAGGAGAGAGGAGAGAGGAGCAAGGAGAAGGGAGAGAGGAGGAGGGAGGAGGAGAGAGGAGAAAGGAGAGAGGAGGAAAGAGGAGAGAGGAGGAGAGAAGAGGAGAGAAGAGGAGAGAAGAGGAGAGAAGAGGAGAGAAGAGAAGAGGAGAGATGAGGAGAGAAGAGAAGAGACGAGAGAGGGAAATCAAGAGGGAGGCAGAGCGAGAGGGAGGGAGAGAGCAGCATTTGCGGATGGTACTTGTAAGGCTCTTGCACGAAAACCTGAAAGTCAGTATCTCAGCCGGCAATGAAAGTTCACAGGATCTTTTGAGTGCAGCGCAATCGTCTCGTGACCGCCAGAAGCGGCAATGCCCAGTGCTGTGTTCCGAGCATCCTTGCAGTGCTTTCGACGATTTGGGGGTTTCCACTCGCTTCTTCACAGTTACGGCATGATTGCACCTCTTCTTCTCCTTCTGTCTTTGTTTTTTAGCTGGACGTGCCACCGTGCAGTAGGAAGGACGAGCGAGGTCGTTACATTTTGGGCGGCGGGTCATGCACATGATGCGAGCGTAGGCCAAATTTCCGCCGGCACAACCTCAAGCGAGACCTTCTTCAGGTTACCACTATTTCTCCCATTGCTGTTGTGAAGCAGACTAGGCTTTTCTGGATGACTGTGTCAGCACGATGAAGCCAAAGGTCGTTCATCGAGTCGACGTCAGCGCGGAGATGCAACAGCTCCTGTGCATACTGTCGGCCACAGAGAAACGCACGTGCCATGTGCTAGCAGCAAACATTGGGCCGGAGACCCCTTTTGTGCCCCCTGATTTCATGACGCGGCACTAAGACAGAACATGTTTGCAGTCCTACATCTCTGGCAGATATATGAGATCAACCTACATCGAGCCTCAATAATGCCGGGCTTGACCTTCCATCCGTACTCACAGGCCTGAGCGCTCATGCAAACGAACAGCACTTGCTTGAATGCACTTTGGCTGTTTCTGCATAGGGCCTACAGACTACAAGGCCATGGGAAGACCCAGGTTGTGAATGCACCACACTCGCGCCAGTGATGCGGCTGAGGCCGGGGCATAGGTGAGTGCCACACGGCCGGTCGCTTGATCCCGATAGTTCAAGTTGGCCTGTCAAGCTACAGATACATGGCCTTGATCCACTTTTAAGAAAAAAGTGCGCTGCAAGCAATGCAACACGAAGCAAGCGGGCCTTGCGGCTGACCAGATCTCGCAGGAGAACCCTCGCTTCAGCCTGTGAAGACTGGGCATGGGAAGTGAATTCAACAACCTTCTCATCTATTCCCATCTATCTGTACAGATGTAATTTAACTCCACATGTGAAGAGTATACATCTAGATTCCGGACCTCGAGCATTCGAGAGCTTTCTCGGATGGGGCCCTCCATATCGACGAGCCATCTGGAAAGCTCAAGGTCGAACTCCTGAGCAACGTCCTGGCACCACCGGCCCACTGCCATGACACTATGAGGATATTGTAAAATAATCTTCTATCGATTCGACCTGCCCAGGGAATCCTCGGATAGCAGTGGATGTATCTCGCAAATTAAAAGAGTCAACCAGAAACAAATCAAGTTCAAGTGCTGGGGTCGAGGCACTGTGCGTTAGTTGCAGTGTTGCAGATCAGATGCCAAGCAAAGCGCCGCACCAAGTCACCGAACAACTCTCTGCAACCCGTGACTCGATGATGCCACTGCTCAGTCATGGGTTGAACAACCTATTCATGTACACTGCCGCTCCGCTCCTTGAACAGCTGAAGCACAGAGAAACCGGCGAGGGCAGGTGAGTGAGAGGGCGGGTGCACACGTTTTCTGGCAAGGTGTAAGGGAGACATGAGCGCGTGCGATGGTTTGATGTACCAGGCTGCAAAACGGCGCACATTGTGAACTGGGGATTGACTGACGCAGCGAGGTACTGCTGAGCGTTGCGGGATTTAAGGCTTAGCTTCCATTGGAGACGTTCTGAATGAGCTGAGAGGTTGGGGTATTCGACGAGCGTCCCGTAGTGATGTGTGCCGTTCACACGCGATGTTTTGAGAGGGGTCACAGACTGATTTGCTATTGCCTGCAATACCTGCCAGAAACAACGGACTTCGTTTCTTAGTTCCAACATCCAAGCCCTGTCCTTCTTGGCCGTCAGAACTTGTTGAATACGCTCCAGCCGATCGGCTGTGAGGCACTCCTCCACGGAATCCCAACACCTTGGGCCCAGGGCAGGCCAGGCCGTTTTCACGTCGCCCCAAAGCACTACATGTACTGTTTGTCGTCGTGGGCCCTGGCCGCTCGTACTCCTTGTAAGCTGCCTGGACAGATAGTGCCAAAGCTGCATGAAGCTTTGAACCAGAAAGCCGTTACAGCACTTGCAGCCCGGTGAGACATTACACGCTGAGGCTCTCGTATTTCATCCTGCCATCTGCCGCCCAACTACGACAGAAATCCGGGCACGCCTGTGGCAGTAAATCTGCCCGATACAAAGCATTTGCTTTTCGCTCACCTGGGGGACATGTGACGAATGAATCCCTTCACTAGTTATGCACAAGTTGTGCGTCACGCCATAGGAACGAATGCGACGGCGGCTCTGCTGCTGAGATCTATTGAGCTACTGCTGTACGTTACCGAAAGCTTCTCAATTGCATATCTGCTTCGCTCCTGATAGACATCTGAGCTTCCGTCTCACAAGCTGCTCCTGCTCATATCCGATCCGAGGCATCTGGACAAAGCCCGGCATGCTCCAATCTGTCCTGCACCCACTTCACATGCCAGGGCACTGAGCGCAGTGTGAAGGAGGCCGGTGGCAACGCCCGTTGAAAAGTTGACAGCTTTTAAAGCGAAAATCTTCGGCAGCAGTGGAGTGCGTCATGCAATGATTAAGCCCGAAGCCCTATTGTCATGAGCCAAGATCTCCACTGAGCTCGCGGCCAGCCACCTTTTGTCAGCGCCTGCACCTAGGACCAGGAGAGTCTATGGGAATCCGACAACCGTCTCTGCTCCAAACTTTAACACAGTATAGTCTTTCAAGAGTCAGAGATATTCGCTGAGATTGGCTGAGCATGGAACAGAGACTTCGTAACCAATTTCGGCCCTCAGGCCGACGATCTCGTGCGCTGTAAACTGCACCTTGAGAAACACTTGGCAATGGGCATTACAGGCTGTTGGCAACGTGTTGAAACCAAGTGGCTCGATGGACTACTGCTGGTTGCAGGATGTTACTGGCGCAGGCACGCTGGAGACTGTGGCTTTGTTGGTCAGCACGTCGAGCCACTGCCTGAAAGATGTGTGCAGTCCAAGTCCAACTTTCGAGACTTCACATGGTCACATGTGGGCGCAGCTGTTGCAGCAGGAGGAAGAACACAGAGAGAAGCGAGCGACGCAGCGACGGAGGATGGCTTGAGCGGAAGAGAGACCTACAACGACTGTCATGCCGGAAGCTCTCAAACTGTCAATCTCCAACTGCTGCACCCCCCAGGAGCAAGCAACTGGTAAGGAGTGACTGAACGACAGGTCTTACACAAACACGTCTTTTGGCTTCCTGATCATCTCGGGGCCCTGCCTGTCACCAACCTGGCACGGTGCCCAACAAAGACCCTGGAATAGGTGTGATTCACCGGAATACAGTTTTTACAGGTTCACGCAGCCTGACATGCGACGACTCTTTTGCGCTGACTGGGCTTCAGCACGAGACATAAGTTGACATGAGCCGCACGTGTAGGCAATGAAACTGTCCAAAACTCTCGAAAGCCTAGCAGGAGGCCGGCATTAACAAGGATCCGAGCCGGTGGATCTGCGATGTTTTCGCACAAAGATCCTGTGCCGGACATGGTGCCTTGGCCACTATGACGAATTAGGCACTGGCGGCTTGCATGAGTGCCTCAAAGGAGATAAACGAGGATTGGCCTGAGCGGTGTAAGTGCTGGAAGACAATACGGGCCCAGGAATCCGGCCAAACACGCGATCGTACCGGAACATGGGCGACAGGCACTACCTTCAAGCATCGATTCACCACATCAATGGCCTCGATGTCGCAGCGAACCAGGGACTTGTTCTTCGCCTGTCCTTGTAGCTTGTCAAGGTCTTCTTCTTGGCATTGTGCTACCAAGTGGCGATCTGCCGTCCGCAGCCTGCCACCTCCCCGAACTTCAAGTACAACCGACTGTTTGGAGGGTAGGTCCTGCCCCTTCTCATCGGGCGTGTCCACTACAAAGCGACTGAGGTGACGATCGCGCCACAGCATTGCGACAGGGGTCACAGGTTCAGAGATCTGGTATCTACCTTCTCGATGCAAGAACATCAGAGAGTCCTTAGGGTAGCCGAAATCTCCTGAGTAGAGCTCTCTGAGTGAATCTGCCGTAGCTGGCAATGCTCGAATAAGCTGCAGTGGCCGCGCCCTCCGTGGAGCTTTCTCACGCATTTCTTCAAAGCGCGACTGCAGCCAGAACAATCGAAACTCCGCTTCAGTAGAGGCCATGTCCATGTCTCCCCATACCAACACATCGCAAATAGCATACTTGCGGTTGCCTGGTAGTCTCCGTCTACGTCCCTTGCCGGACGACTTGCCACCCGGGGCAACGTCCATGGCGTCGTCGCCCTCCGACTGGCCATCGTCTACCGGCGAAGTTGGTTCCTCCATTGGCGCACTGAACTCCTGAATCTCAGGCCCAAGGCCGGAATCCTCTTGCATCTTACCCCTGACAGGCTTCTGTGGCTGAGGCCCTTCTATGCACACTGCATCCAAAATCGTGAGGCCTCGTGGAAAGCGTGAGTCAGTGAATTTCTCCAGGATGTGACCATTCTTTTGTCGCACCTGCACCCGGCCACCTTCTGACAGCAGCAAGCACCGGTCACCTTCCGGCTTTGCGAGTACTAGCCAGCTTTCAGCCAAGTCCTGAGGAGGGACCAGCATCCAATCTGGAATCTGCATCTGCCTTGCGAAGAACAAAGTCCGGTGCAACCGCCTGAGTCGTTGCATCTTCTTCCCGTGGGCATAACCACCATCCATGTCCATGTCGTTGGTGGTATCTGCAGGGTCATCATCGTCGTCATCCTGAATTTCTACCTCTTCTTTGCCGTCGTTAGCGCTGGTACTGAGCAATGCATCCATGGCAATGCGTCGCATCTGGTCGAGTCTGTTGGCCCGAGAATCGCTCTGCCTTGCGCAGCAAAGTTCAGAACCAGAAATTCTGTGTCAAAAGCTGTGAACTCGCGATTCAGTCCCCCCCCCCCCACACGCTATCACGCACTGTCACACACGCACTGTCGCACACCCCCCTCAGCGAAAATGCCAGAAAGCTTCACTGAAGTTTCACGTGGGCATGGAGTTCCTCAGCCCTCTACGACGTACGACTAGGGAACATGTACAACTTACGAAGATACAGCAGGTAGAGAGAGAGCGAGAGGGAGAGAGAGAGTGAGAGAGAGTTGGAGGTGAAGAGGTGGAGAGGTGAAGAAGGCTGTATCATGCTGTATCCCTTGAGAGGCCGGGCGGCTGTGAGGAGAGCGCTGCGTGGAGCCTGGCAGCCTCCGCTTCCCGGGAATGCGTCGCCTTGAACTGACTCTGGCGGCCTCCCGCCGCCCGCTCCCGAGCTCCGACGCCATCCATGGCGATTCTTCGGTAAACTCCGAATAGATTCGAAAGACTCTAAGATACTCTAAGACTCTAAGCGACTCCTCCAAAACAGCCATGTGCGCAACACATGATCGGGACCAGGTGAATTGCAATATCAAGGAGAGGCCTGTGGACTGGCTGGTGAATGCCAAGCGCATGCGCGTCTCGTCTGCACCTGAACGGCCTCGTCGCCTTCGATCTGCAACAGCCTGAAGGCAGTGGCAACAAAGTCTTGCAAACACAGGCGATTGTCCTGATGGCTCCATTTTTTCAATAGGGCCCGAACACACTGGGACGACCTCCCGCACGCTTAAGATGTGCCTCGCAAGATCTTGCAAATGTCTCTTCTTTGGGTCTTCGGCTGAAATCCAGAGGTCAGATTCAATATGCAGCCTCTGAGAAAACAGAAGATCACACCGCAACTTCGCGGCCTGCTTCTCTTCAATGCGAGATGCCATTGGAGTACCCTTGCAGAGATTGTAGAGCTGCTCAAGACTCAAGATTACCGCCAGTGCAGACCGCCTAGCAGCCTCGTCCGGTTATAACTTACAACCCCGCCTTGAGGTAGCTCTTTCCATCGGCCACCCAGACGGCCTTCTCCAAATCAGCACCACTCCACTCAAGTTGCGACAGAAATGACCATGTTTGACTTGCATGTCTGGCAATTCAGACAACACCCTGCCCCATGTTTGTGCTGGTGGATAGTCGGGTAGCTCGGACACGCGTCTCACAAGCTGGCATCATCTGTGTCCAGGAGGGCATGCGGCTGCAGAACTGTACCCACATTGGCGGCGGGTTGCAGCATTGCGGGTTTCGGGCTCTCGTGACTCTCGTGGGGCCCTATGTTATAAGATGCCCCGTGCCGCCGCCATAACATGGGTTTGGGCTTTACCAAGCACCTCTTGCGCACCTTGCCAGACTCGCTTGGCGATGGCAGTGCGTCCGAGGCAAAGACTGTCGGACTTACACTTGCCCGAGTCTCAAGGCCAAAGCTCACTGGTCCGAGTGCTTGCAGCTGCCGTGTTGGGGTGTCAGAATGTCGGGGCTGCCGACATGGACTGATTGGTGCAGAGAAAGCATACAGAATCTACATAGCTATCAAATCGACGATTCCATGGATTCGTCACCACGGCCATTCCTATGCAAGCAGTCAGGAAGCTAGCTCGAGCACCTGCACAGGACCGACTCGATTGCCAGCTTGTTCGGAGGAGCGCTCCTTCCGACCACCCGCCATCCGTGCGGAGAAGGCGTGCCTTAAAGCCATGAATAGTCTAATCTGCTGCCCAGGATGGGCTCCGGAAAACATGCGAAGCCATTTCGCCTCGCTCAGGTCATAGTTGTGTGCTACAGCCGCTCGCGCTGCCAAGCGTGCCATTTGGTGACGGTCATGATTACGGCCGGCGGCTTCTCAAAGACTCTTCCCAAATTTACTATAGTAGGATCACTGGTGCAAACATACGCACAACATGTAGGGTGTTCGTAAAGCTACATTTGCACGCGCCAAGGCGTATTCAAAGATGCACTGAACGATGTGACATATGAAGTTTTGCACGAGTCTGCGCCGCAAAATCGTGGCACTCGTTCGGACTTTTGCACGGACGTTGCCTCAGCCTTGTTCTATAGCCACAGAGCAAATGGGGCAAGTGTTCTTGCATTGCCTTGTATCACACGCAAGAAATGGGCACGTATGCATCACATCGTTCACTGCTCTTGGGTGCACCCAACCAGCCACTTCACAACAATGGAACAAATTAAGACAAGACGCGTGAGCCACTTCTTGATGCATTCCTGGTGGAACCTGGGCAGTGCATGGTCTAGCGATCCGCGTGTGTCTGACTCACATCCTGTGCTTGCCGCGGGGCAGATGTGAACAGGGTAGCTTCACAGCTTCCCCCACCAAAGGCGATAAGCCTGGGCTGAGGCAGCAACATGCGTTTGAGGTGTATTAGTCGCTGCGTGTACGCAGAATGGCCAGTACAGGATACATGCACCCGGCACCTGCCGGCTGGAAGTTTTTTTTTCAGCAGGCACCGATTCTACTGTCTTGATTGTGGGTTGGGCGATTCTACCTCACTTTGATTTGGCACATTCAAGCTGCAGAACTGCAGAAACTGTTGCAGGCATTGCTGCGCATTAATGCTTCGCTACTGCTTCTAGCCGAGCGAACTGAATAACCTGACCCTTAACGAGCAACGAAGACCTGATCAACGTTGATGAGGACCAAAGTACCGACACGTTTTCCCTTTTAGCGGCAGACACCACCTCGCTGAGCATGCTAAGTTTGCAGCTTCGGAACACACACCGCACTCCGCCGACTGGCGCAGTCGTGTCCGAGGCAGGCGCTCCACCTGACCTGCTATCAGGAAAATGCGACGTGTTGCAAAGACCGAGGGGGGCGCCGGCAGTCAACAGAACCCGGCGGAGATTGACGAGGGGACGAAAGCCCTAGAGCTAGATCTACAGCGAGACACGCCTGCTTACTCGGCTGTTGCATCGAAAAAGAGCCACCCTGCATCAGGCATAGGCCAGCCAAGCCCTGAGAGACTGGGTTTAAGAGGAGTGTGACCAACCACACCTCTACAGGATCACAACAGACAGCAAAGGACCGAGACAGTGGAAGTTGTTCCATCCGAAGGGGCCACCTCAACTCGCAGAGACAGTGTTCTGATGTCTTCTGGCCTTCTTGGAGTGTGTGGCGGTTTGGTATGGCCTCGTCGAGCTTGCAAAGCTTCCTCAGATACGGCAGGATCTGCCAGCGCAGACTTCTGCAACCAAACGACAGCTGTTACGATGGAGGGGTCGGCTGCATTGTGCCGCTATTGTGCTGCATTGTGCTGCGTGGACGGCATGGACACCAAGGCACTCATAGTCCTCGGGAGTGAGCTCCCTGTGCCTTACGTCGCTCACTCCATCATGTCAAGCAAAGTGATTCCACGCCACGGCTGGGCAAGTTTCAGCCTCTTCGTGAGTCAAAGACCAATGCAAACAACCCCGAACAGCAGTTGGATAATCCTACTTCGCCAGCCCAGGGGCATCATGCTTGCGGCCTCGTTGACCCCGAGGCCGCAAGGAAGAATGGCCTGACAGCACTTTTGTGCCCAAGTGCACCGACAGCCAGTTGCAAGTCATGTCATCTGTGTTTTCTTGAGCCACGTCCTCCTCCGAGTCCACATCGCTGTCTATGTAGTCCTCCCAGAGGATGTCATCCCCAAAGACAGGGCCTCCTCTCAAGGCTTTGATGTGGCGTCACACGGCAAGTGCATGCCAGCGCATTTCGGGACCGAGACTTGGATTGAAGCTCCTCGGATCAATCTTGCGATGTTGCGGAGAGAATGGACGCGGTACATGCCTCAGAGCTCATGCTGCTCACCCGGGGCAGATCCAGAATACTTCACAAAGAAGGTTGCGCTGACTTGCAAGGCATGCCAAGATTCGCTGAAGTGAAGAGCACTTCGGCCTCCTTTGCTGAACTTTCTGGCGGGGTGCCTGGACTAACAGGGTAGACAGCACGCAGATTCAAACTCTGCAGGTGGACCGCAAACTCAAAGCTGACTGAAGTTCTCTGAGCGTCCTTTGGCCTTAGAAGCAGCGTGCCAAGCAAAAAATCATAAAAGAAACACCTCTGCCCGCCCAACAATTCAAAGCCACAGACACACACGCAGCACATATATGTAGTTATACAGTCATCCTCCCTGGGCCAAACCCTCAACGGCGCAACTCGGCCCTTTTGTGGGCTCTGGGCGGCTCCGTTCATCTTTTTCAACCAAGGCGCTCGGCTGCGCGGCTGTTTGGGCCGCGGCCAAAGCCAGCTCGTGGTGACCCGGCGGTCTTCCGCCTTCCGCCAAGCGATGATGCTAGAAAATGTTGATCGCAAAACAAAGGCGAGAGGCATAGGAAACAAGAGAAGTGCCCCATCTATTATGGGCTCATGAATGCGTCATGCATCGCCTTTTTCTCGAAAAGAATGTATGTGCTTGCCGAACATGCAAGCCAAGCTGCCCTCTGATGTCCTCGCGATTTAGGGTCCTGTCAGCATCATCACGCATACTAGATGCCGACGGTGCTCCTGGCGCGAGCTATAGTACTGTCCCATCTCGCAGTTGGGCCACGCGCGACGAGCTTGAAGAACCAACAAGCACAGCCTGCGCAAGGCTGCGCACGGGGTGCTGAGTGCTCGTGTCAGCCGATCCCCCGAGGCAACGGGTCCAAAAGCTTTCGATTGAGTCAAGAACCCTGCTGATTGCAAGCAGCCCTCCGGTGACTTACCCATGGTTCCCAGGCACCTTCTTCTGGAGACCCGTTCTATGCGCAACGGCATTGCGTTGGATGCTAAATCCTTTACCTACCTACTCTACTGCCCCCCTCTTGATCAAAACTGCCGCAGACATGAGAGGCGCTGGCTCATGGCTTCGTCGAAGCTTCTGCGATCGTGCGTCCCTTCTTGCTGCAAAGTTCCACGGCCTCTATCCAGGCAAAGGGTATTGTGTGGACTTCATCCTGACAGAAGGTCTCCCTTCGCTGAAGTTGTCTCGACAAGCGCAAGCACACACCCACACACACACACACACACACACACACACACACACACACACACACACACACACACACACACACACACACACACACACACATCGCCTGCGAAACACCGAGCTTCTGCGAGCACTGAGTGCAGGCCAATGCCTGGGTTTGGCACCCTCCTTCTCCAGGTCCCCACTGTGACGATGATAGAAAACTAAAGTGACTGAAGCGAAGCTGGGTGCAGCACAGATGGAGGAGCTCCGCCTTCGGCTTCCAATTCATGTCCAAAGGCAAAACCGGATGAGGCCAAGGAACCCGTCCTATGCAGAAATCCTCCTGCGGCTCCACGAACTCGATCTCCACTGACCCAGAAGGGTCCACCTGAGCACAAACGTGCGAACCGAGCAATCCCGGTGCAAAGGCTGCACATGAACACCTTGCCTTCCGGACGCGAGCGGCGCCAGGCGTGGATGACTTTCGATTGTCGAAGTCACCAAAGGCACTAACCCAGAGGTCCTTGACCTGCACCGTGGCTGGATACAGCAGTTTTGTGACCGGCTCCCGAACCTTTGCCCGAGAAAGTGTATAGGGTGTAGGGCCCCAGCCAGAGGTACAAGCCGGGACCGCCAGGCCAGAGTCGTGTCCTCGTCACCTTAACAAAGGACGAATTCCCGATTAGGGCAGCAACTGCGGTTTAATTAGGGCTTCAGCGTGCGTGCCCGAAAGAGTCCACAAAGCACCAGTCCTGCCATATAGAGTTCTATATAGGCCAACATGCGAAACAACGCAGTTGCCGCATGTACCTGCACTCTTCAATCAGCCCTCACATTCAAGACCGACCGTATGGGGGTTTCCGAGATCAGGGGTGCCTTTATGGGGGGTCCTTCTTCTAAGGGGCTCCCTTTTTCTCGAAAACCCCCATATTGAAAGGAGCTCTCCTGAGAACCCTTTTCCCGCATTCGGAGGCGAAAGCAGAGTGGTGCCGGATCCTGCATTGAACAAAGACTCGTCGATCTAGGCCAATGACGAAAACTTCAAACACTTCGCTTGAGAGGCAGCCTTGGGAAGCACCCATCGGACCTGCGCACCTTATTCAGCTCAGAAGAAGCCACTCTGCATAGAAAAAGCTGGCACAGTGAACCGTCAACCACTGCCGACAAAGCGTCGGTTGATGCTTAAAACTGTGAGCACTGGAGGCAGCGGAGGCAACAGTGGCTTCTTCACCTGGCGAAGCAAAGTTTCACAGGGCTAGGCCGGTTAGGCGCTGCAATCCAGAATGACAAGCAAGCTCCCTTTCCTAGGACGAGCCTTCAGCACACGGCATGGCTTGCTCGGCCTGTGAACGGTAGACTCGGTTTCCAGCCCTGCATGAAAAAAGGAATCTAGCAGAATCGAGCTAGGCTATGGATGACATCATGGAACCTCCCTGTCGCTCTCACAAGATTGGGCTTTGGACTGGCTCCATGACACGTAGTCACCACCCGAAGTAGCAGACAAACCAATGGAGACCTGGCAATGACAGTTTGTGCGCGCGTTGTGGCGTTGCCCACGTGTCTGGCTGAAGAGCATCGACAAGGCTGGCTCTGGCTAAGGGCCTCGATTTCTTCCAACTCGTCTGGGATGTCATGGATTGTCACTGAAGGCCGCCGGAGCCTGTCACCATTTGTCACAGGCAGAGACCCGCGTCTTCACAAACCCGTGGAATTTTACTGCAAAGCCCAGGCAACGTGACGGACATTGCTGACATTGCTGACATAGGGCATGGCTGGACTCTCGACATTCCAAGTTGGGGTGTATCATGTAGAGGCGAAAAACACCTTCAACTGTGCCACTGCCTATGTATATAATTATATATATATACACACATGGCACAAACATTCTTCTGCAAATAACAAAACACGATGCACCGAGCATTTATCGAAGTTGTTGTCTCAAGCATCTCCGAGTTCACCGTGCTCTCAGGCGGTTTGCCAGACCTCTTTGGGCCTTCGACCAGGAGCTTTCGGAGCTGCGCCTTGTGCGCCCGAGCTTCCTTCTTTGCCTGTCGCAATTGCTGTGCTTGCAATCGCTCGGGCGGGATTCTGCGAGGCTGCCGCGTGTCTGACAGAAGGGGGATAGCTGTCGGGCCAAGGCCTTCAAGAGGAGCTGTGAGAAAGGACCAGCAGAAGGCGCGTTGCCAGTACCCAGGGCGTCCCTTGACATGCTCTTTGGACAGATGCAGCTGTGGATCACTTGCGAGCTGGAAGCCATTGGCTTCAACCGCTGCTACCCAAGCACTGCCGCGTGCTTCTGGGTCCGCGTGACGTCCTACCGTGCCCTTGGTATCGGCAATGATCAGCAAACCTCGGCCAGGGGCTTGCCGCAGAAGTTGGCGCGCTTTGGCTGCGGCCAGGCCTCGTTCTTCAGGGCCTGGTAGAATCGAGAAGAACAGCGCCATGATCACGACGTCGAAATGACCAGCCGGCAAGCTCTTTGCCTTGTAGCTTGTTGGCCCAAGGCCACGCGAGGTTTCACACTCTTCCAGCTCGAAGGCGCTGCCAGGAGGTGACACAGGCACTTCTAAGAAGTTGCAAGATAGGACGGAGGGATGGCCAGGTGCCATGTCAACTGCGGTCACTTCCAGTGTCTGGCCGTGCAGCCTACCAAAGTAATTGTTACAGCTGCCGACGTCCAACACCTGAGGTCGGTTTATCAAGACCTGCTTGGCGAGCTCCTGGATCAAGCTGGCAAACTTGTCTTCGACAAGCGGAAGCTGTCCGTCTGCGCGTTTGCAAGCGATGGCCCTGCGCAGCTCTCCGGTCAAAATGCTCACACGAGAGCGCTCAGCTCGTCGACCAGTCAACCATCGCTCTCTTCTTTCGCCATCTAGGAGAAAATAGTGCCCAATCGTATCAAAACACCACTGCTTAAAAGCCTTACTCCACTGCTTTAGGCCATGCACGGCCGCAGCATCCACATCCGGCTCCTCTCCATTACTAGGACAAGCGCTTGATGGTGGTCGGGTTGAGAAGGCAACGTTGCTTTGGCTCAGTCTCCGCAAGGACCTCTTCCGAGCCACCGCTGCCTTCGCAAACTTCCGGAGCTGCTCAATGCCTGCGTCTAGTTCAAAGCCCTCCAAGTAGGCTTCAGGATCATGAAGGAACCAACGAACCATGTTGTCCAAGGCTTGGTGCAGACGCCTCCTCTGCTCTCTACCTTTCGACTTGCTGTTGAGGATTGGGCTTAGGTCCATGAGACCATCCAGCCGAGCACCCCTCTGAAGTGCAGGCAATGTCAGGATGTGGGCTACTTCCAAGGAAATCTGGCCCAGCAGATTCGTAGCAGAAGTCGACGCAGCTGCACGATCACTGTCTGGCTTCAACTGTAGCAAAGCAGGCACCAATCTCTCTACCAGGTACGCGGGCTTCATTGGCACCTCCTCCAGAACACCTTCTGCCCATTCGTATTGCCTTTGATTACAACTGGTCTTCTCATCGGTCCCAGGTGAAGAGCTGCAACCCCTGCGGATCGCAGAAACTCGAACGATCTTACGCCAGGGTGTCGCCCGAACACGCAACACTGCGACAGCGGTAGCAGAAGCAGTCGTCCAGATAGTGTTTCTGCTGATGCTGATCTTCGCCTGCCATCTACGTCGCAGCGGCGTCAACCCACATAGGCCTGAGAGGCTTGGACGTGGGGGGCTGAGTGGCCTCACAGTAGCCCTGGCCAAGGAAACGCCTCCCCGCCAGGTAAGAGCGGCCATATTATGTCAGAATAAGTCCGTTAAGGGACGATCTTCCTTCTTTCAACTTTGGCGCTCCCCTCTCCATTGCGCTCATGCGGATGCTACGTGTCTTCTGCTCATGTTCTGATATGTTCTACTCCGCTGCGCAGTATGATTTGAGGCAAGCTGGTTTGTGGCAAAGCGCAGGGCACATACCAGCAGGACGCTGATCCGAACATACGTCTGAGATGAACCCACAGGTGTCTGCTCAAGCACGAATTGGAGCGGTGGTCATGGTGTCATTGAAGCAGCACAAGCGCAGATACCCGACGCACTTACATTGCCAACGCTTTGCTAATCTTTGGACCTCGCAGGTTAGCAGTCAACTAGCTACTGCACTCGCCAGTTCTCGGAGTGTGGCAGTCGAGAAGTCGAGCCTCTCTACGGATCCGTCCGACTGCAAATGCATCCTCAGCTGGCTGGCACGACATGCGGCACATGAAGCACTTCCGGCGTGCACCAGCTGCCAGCTCGGTTGCCATCGAGGGAGCGAAAGCACCACTAAATTCATGCGAGGAGTGGAAAGCAAATCCCACACCATGAAGACCGGGCACGACTACCAAAGAGAAATCTTCAAGGCTCAGGGCAGCGCCCAACATTGAAGGAGGATATCCAGCGCTCTTCTGGCACAACCTGTCTGCGGGCCATAAACTCACGGTGGGCACCCAAAACGATTGCTTCCTCGGAGGCCTTTGGGGGTTTGTTTTTTTGTGTGTTTGTTTCTGGACAACCACTACAACACAGCCCTGTCCGCATTATAATCTCGGGCCTCCTCAAACATGACCTCATAGTGCGAGACTTTGGCCTAAGTACAGGGGAGAGGCCAGTCCTGCAAGCTTGCGGCGCAGCAATACCGCAGCAAGCCAAAGCAAGCTTTACGGGCTAAGAGGTGGGCCACAGTTCTCAGCACTATCCTGCGAGAGCAGGGTACGGCACTGGTAAGGCACTTGTTGTTCGTAGCTTGCAAAAACAAACTGTCCCGCTGGACAACCGTCGGAAAGCTGGAGACGCGACAGATACAGCCTCAAATTCACACAGTTCAACTAAAATGCCGCCCACATGCCAACATACCGTTTGGAGTGTGCTGCACATTCTGAAGACCGACCAAACTTGCAACGTGACAATCAGGCTCTTGTTTGGCCAAGGTGTGCACTTTGCTCAGATGGGAATGGCAATCGAACAATCGAACGAAATGCATGTGAAATTCAAATCGGGTCCACTAAGCAATGTGCTGAAGCCGTTGTGGCATCACCCCGGCCCGGGAGGGAGAAGAAGGATACCTGTGGTGATGCCAATTTCATGCATGAGGCAGCTAGGATTTGGCAGATGCTGGCAAGCATGCCTTGACTCCTGGCGTCAGGGGGATCGCCTGCATGGGCATGAGGCGAACATCACTCAATCTCAAGCTTCATGAAGCTAGGTATATCTCAGGATAATACATACGCTCGGACTGTTTGATGCTATAGCCGCCAAAGCGCCTCATCCCACAGGTAGCCGTACACTGGATTGTACAGGCCTGTGACGTGGATGGCTAGATGCGCGACATGCTCATTATGCTTCTGTACCGTCACAGGGAAATTGTTCGTGAGCATCTCTGCCCGCCTGCAGATGACCCCTGCCGAGCCACGACCTATCACGCGACAGCTTCCACTCACTGCAGACTCCTCACTGGAGGAGCCGCCTCAGCTGGCCGGTCCCTCGCACTGCGGAGCACCAGCCACTCCAGCACCTCGACTCTCGCAGTTTTGCAACCCATGTCACCTTCCCGCAATCGGCCGCACAAAGACTCCGTCGGCCTTTCGGCGCTTCCTGACCTTGCGCGTGGGCTCCGGTTGTTGGACCTCGTGCAAAAAGGCAAGAAAACACACTATACGACTCAGTCAACTTTTTTCCTTTGCGTTCGTGCATGGGATTGGCAGGCGAGTTTGGCTAAAAGGAAGCTTCACCTTCTTCGCGCGAGGGCCAGGCGCTCCAGATGGAAGCCAAAGGAATCCGAACAGGCTTCCGACGGTCCATGCCTTGGAAAGCAACAGGCTGCATCCGCTTTGACTTGACGATTTCTCATTAAAAATAGGTCTGCTCTGTTTCATCTCTTGGGCGCTGGCACTGCAAGTATACATACACTTCTGCCGGGGAGATAAGCTCCCTGATGTGAAGAAAACAGGCAAGATTGGTGAAAGGTCAATCATGCTCTTCCAACTAGCTACATTCGCTGGGTGCTGACGGCTACAGCCATGCCCTCAGCTTTCAGGGCGCCTCAGAACCTGTCCACGCAATGCACGCTCCGAGCGGTGGAGCACCTCCCTGGGCCCGAAGGAATAGGCCTCACGTTGCCAGGCTTGATGGTGTCAACATGTGCCGGAAGGGTCGACTAGAACAGTTTCTGGGGGACAGCCTGCGCGAAGCTCTCATCGTCTGGCTTCTCGGTGAGGTGGGCACCGCCGAACTGCAGCGTGACATCGCCGGCCTTGCAGAGAGAAGCAAAAAGCTGGGGGACCAGAGCTATGGCAGACCATGGCAGTCCCTGGCAGAGCCTCCCGTGGCTCAGGATGCACACCCCAAACCTGCGGACCAGGAGTTGTCCTGCGGACTCGTGTGAGATGGGTGCCAGGTGATGCCTCCCCTTCGCCATCGGCGCCGGAAGATGCAGCCTCGCTTTGCTTCAAAGACGCAAGCATACTAAAGAGTGGGTTTGGCCATTGGGATGCCCTGATCTGAGCCGCGCACATAGTAAGACAATACCCCCTGCCTGAGCATGTGCAATTTGATATTCTGCTGCTCATGCCGATTCTGCCAGATATTTAGATACGATGCAGCAGCACGTTCACCGATGATAACCGCGCGGCCCAGGGCAGATGTTCTTCTTGGCCCGCTCTGATTCGGGAAGGTCCTGCACAAGCCCGGAACGCGTAGAAAGTTGCGGCTTCCATCTGAAGATCGGCAGGAGTCCTCGCATATCCAATGCCGCGGGACAACCTGCTGACACAAGTATGAGGTTTTGCTAATTTCTGACGACGCTTTATTGGCTCTCTCGCACGAGGCCTGGATGCGAGGGTATGGCTCCAGGTTGACCTTCAAATCTGCGCGGGTGCACAGCTCCTGACAAATGGGCGGACGGATGCTCTGACTCAAGACAGAACCATGACGAGAGGATAATTACTGAGCCAATTTCGATTTAAGGCTACTCTGGCAACAGTGCATCACATCTTATGTCGAAGCATGTCGAAGCGAGACAGCAACTATATCTTGGAGAATACACATGAACCTTCGCCTTTCAACCCGAGGAGACCAAACTTTGTCTTCTCCTCGGGTCGGTCCGTGCTGCTGCGCAGATCCTTGCTCTCCTGGTCATGCACGCCCTACTTGGGCCCTATTGGCGGCCCTGAATCTCCATGACTACGGTGTCCCAAAAAACACGAGGAAGGCGAGCCTCGACTGGGAGAACCACTGGCCACCAAGAACTGATACCTGGATCCAAGCCATCCGAGACTCGCCAAATGCCCGCGAAACATCCTTCGATGCCAAGTTGACCCCGGACAGACCCCCTCGCTCAAAAAGCATATAACTCCCCAGCGAGGCCGCGTAGTGGAGACTTTGCTTCAGCGGCTATGCCGCATCAACCGCCACACATGCTACTGGCTGCACCTCGGTTCGACCTTACCACCGGCTTTACCTTGAATGTGTCCAACATATACACTCATTACACTTGGATGAACTTGACGGTACTCGGAAAAGCCCTGGAGCCGATGCGGGTGTTGAGTCCATGATGAGTCTGTACCGAAGGCAAGTTCGGGTGCAAAATGCTGCCAACGCACTTGACGCGGCAGCTCGGCTCCCTCTCGACGCAAATCTGCGTTCTGGGGACATGTCCTGGCACTCTCTCCGAGTCTCCCGGATGCGGGATGAAGCAACGTTGACATGCAATGCAGGCCTCCTTCTCGTCAGCATCACCCACCTGCTACTGCTGTCGAGTGCTCGCGACAGCTTGAAGAACCCCAGTGCCCGCGAAAAATGCTTCTCACGAAAATCTGCAGAATAGGACCACGATCAGCCCCCTCTCACTTGCCAGGGGATTTCTACCGGTCTGTACAGCTGCTAGCCCTGCAAGACGATCTGCTGTGTTTGTGGTGTTCAATGGGCTTGAAGCAACATCTTCAACAGAATTGAAGGAGAAGTTTGAAACGGCGTGGCCCTGAAACTTAATAATGCTTGGACTACAACCTATGGAAGATGGCAGCAAATCACCAGGCAAATCTGTCACACACGTCTTTAGCACAACGCTTGTCAAACGACTCTGCGATGTTGCGCCTGCAGTCCCATTGCGCAATTGAGGGTGACGCGGCTTCCTGGAGCAGGAAGACTCACCTGTGCAAGGCAGCCACTCAGCTTGACGCCTTAATTAAGGACCATACCGGTCACGAGAACGAGACATGCATCTGATCCTGTCTTGCTGCAAAGGACCATGTTGACAATTTGCAACGAGCGCGGCCCAGACGTGCGAACTCAAGCTGCTTGTGAACCCGACACCCGCGCATGCATATTCATTGAGGTAGTACAGGCTTGTGAGGCTGAGGATGCAAAATTTGAAGATTGCAGCGTGTCTGATGGGCTCAGCGGCTTGCCTGCTGACTCCACAGAACCGCACATTGCCGATGAGTCCGTATGATCCGTTCGTATACCTGACCAACGTACAGCTGTTGGAGAGCCCCACAGCAACAGGCTTACTAGATGTCACGAACCTTGTTCTTGGCCACTCTCCACAGCCGCCTTCCAGGGGAGTTTGAAGTAATGACCCGGTGAAAAAATTTGGCAAACGCCCTCGCCTTCCAGCTGCGCCCTGCCCAAACCTGGTGCAAACAAAGGTTCTCTGATGTTTCTGTGCTAACATCAGGCTTGGTCTGCTTGGCCTTCGCCGCTGCTCCACCAAACTCCAGGCGACATCCTGGCCGTGGACCATGAGCTTAATCTCAGAGGGCGCATGTTCAACTCACGCACAGATGCCAACACGTACATGTCCATACAGTGCATATACACACATATACGTACGCAATTGCATGTGTGTATGTGTGTATGAGTAGTGCATGTCAAGTAGGCACTGCAGAAGGAAGGCTCTGTGAGTCGTTGCCTTGATTTCGCGCGAAGTAGCTGCGAGAAGCACCCAATCTTGAGGGACACGCTGCCTTCCAGAGTGTGAGGTTCTGAGTTCCACTGACCGGCTTGTAGAACCTTATACTTCCAGTCCCCTGGAGGTTCTGCCTCGCAGTTACCCCACCAATCAGCTCGAAGTCCACCTTTGCTGTCAACAGGCTGTCTTTCAGTAGGTGCACGAAGTGCTAGCATAGTACCACAGACTCTACCGCACTCCGGTCAGCAATGTCCGATGTTTTCGGGAATGACTCCAAGACTTTTTAGAGTACATGGTAAGCCAAACGCCCGAAGCCTTCAGGATTCACAAGAAACGTGCGAGCGACTGGTACTACAGTTATTTGCGCCCTTGCTTGTGTGCCAGGCCGCCGTTACCAGTCCAGGGTAGTGGGAAATCACTGTTCCTCAGCACGAATCCAGCACGGGGGGTTACAGCGACTCGACCGCGAACCGCCTTCCCCCCCCCCCCCCCCCCCCCCCCCCCCCGACACTCGTGTACGAGATCGGCACCTGGAACTGGCCGGTGGCTCTTCCGACCCTCCTCCACGCAGAAGCTCAGCACCTCCATGTTTCTGGAGGTCTAAGCAAGTGTTGCAAGAATCTGTGGAGGAATAACGAAGGGGACAGCATGTGTACATATGTGTATATATGCGTATGTGTGTATGTATGTATGTATGTATGTATGTATGTATGTATGTATGTATGTATGTATGTACATATGTGTATCTATAATATAAAAATATATACATATATATATATATATCCACACGCGCATCTGGCGTGATTCTGGCAGCCTTCAGGCCACGCTGAACAATGCAGGCGCGGTGTTTCCAGGACCTGCAAACAGTGTCACGCAGCTGGCCCGCTTTTCTGAAACGAATCCAGAGTGAATGAAGTGGAGAGATTGAATGTCCCACTCCGAGAACACTGGCCACTGTCCGTTTCCCTGTAATTCAGAAATCAGAAGCGCCCCGTTGACTCAGATCCACACATGGCAGACAGACTAGAGGACTCCACTCGCCCTGAGTCCAGGTCCACCTGACAGCAACCAGATGACCATCCGCACACTAAGTCACCAGCACACATCTGGAAACCCTAGCTGCTCAAGGCTGCTAAGGAAACTCTGCTGAATTGTGATGTGCCGACCTTGTGCCAGTCACTGTCAGCGGCAGTAGATCGCACACGAACTTGCCAAGTGTAGTCCAGTAGCCTGGTGCCCGTGTGATTGGGAGGTCTAAACCTAAACTTTGCCACGCAACCGTCGTACGCGGCTTGCCGTCTGCTGGCCTTGTGTTCTCCAATTGCCACGTGACTGAGATCTTGTCCAGACCGGTGCACCTGCGCTGGTCACGCGCAAACCGAAAGTGGCTGCTCGTGCTCTATCGTCCCGCCTGGCCACTGGGGCATTCGGCAGAAGGTGGGATAGCGGCCTTGCAATGGTCTCGTTGAAATTGAATCCTTGCAGAGAAGCGCTTGTGCTTACGAAGGGGTTTCCGTAGCTTTTGACGGCCTTAGCTTCACGAAACTGCTGTCCCAAGGCCAGCTCCGCAGGAACTGGAGCACGAAAGGGGGACTTCGTCTGGATACCAAGCCGGCAGCCTCGATCGCATACGAACACGCCCTCTACTCCCTCCGTCAGAATATTACAATCCCATCCCAGTCGTCTGATTCTGCATCTCCAATCCGCGAATATTGATCCGCACTTTGACTTGAGATCTATACACTGTTCATCACTGCTCCCGAAGATTTCTCAATACAAAACACACACACACACACACACACACACACACCAAAAAAAACAAACACACAAAACCTGCAAAGATCCGCATAATCTCGGGCTGTTCGGAGTTCTAGTTGCTACCCACTACCTAATCCTCCTCCTAGGGTCCTGCGCGCTGTGCCACTCCCCTTAGTTTGGAAATGATGTGGGGCACACTAGCCAGTCCCCAGCCTGCTAAAGCGAAAAGAGACATCAGACCGAGGCAGGTCGCGTAGTGTTGAAACTGCGTTATGAACAACAGAGTCCTACGTCATAGGCAAACAGCAATCATGTTAACATTATCTGCGAGCACGAACATGGACCGAGAAGGCCTAGAGATCCTATGGGCATGTCTTCGACATTATAGATGGAAGCGGTACGGTCTCCTCTGAAGACAACACATACCAAAACCTTTCACTGCGAGAAAATGGCTAATTTCTTCCTGAAGGGGAGATGGAGGGTCGGGCGTGGCACGGCTTGCAGACTAAATTGGGCAAGCGTGGCCTCCTAAAGATAAGTACTCGCAATGGAAGAAATTCCATTCAAAAGCATAAGTCAAGTTGACTCGATTGCCTGACAGGGATGGGGTCACGGAGGCCATCGTATTCATCCTCGCAGCTGTAGAATGAAACGCATGATTCTGCACTGGGTGCATTGGTCGAGCACCCCCCCCCCCCCCCCATATCTAACGGTGACGCAATGGCCCAACTTGCTCCTGCGATGACTCCGAGCTTTCTGACCTCTCTGCATCGGAACCTGGCCACCAAGATTTCG